ACGTCAGGTGGTGGCTCGGGGAAGTTAGGACTGTGTATCTCGTTCTCGTGATAGGAAGATAGCTGAGAAGCATGGAATGTGGGGTGAATCTTCCATTGCTCGGGTAACTCCAGGGTGAACGTGATTGGTGATAAGACTTCTTTGATAGGGAAAGGTCCATATCTTTTTGGGGCGAGTTTCCGAGACGGGAGTTTTAGTCTGAGATTGGTAGATGATAGCCACACCTTATCTCCTTTTTTCCACGGGGTATACTTCTGCCCGAAGGATCTTTCCGCCATTCATTGTATGGCCAGATTATGACAAGATAGGGCTTCTTCTCTTATCTTTAGAAGAGTTCTGACTCGTTCTTCTGCTGCTGGTACGGAGGATTCTGGAAGAAGGTGAGGGAGAGCTTTTGGTTCGTATCCCATCATCAGGAAGAACGGAGAGGCATTCCTGGCAGAGTGGCTCCGGTGGTTATGTATGAATTCAGCCATGGGGAGGTGTTCGACCCAGTCAGAAGGGTTATTCTGACAATACATATGGAGGTACGTTTCTAGTTCTTGGTTTAGTCGCTCCGTCTGCCCATCAGTTTGCGGGTGGTAGGCTGTAGACGGTGCTAGGGAGTAGTTGAGGAGGCGGGCTAATTCGGCAGAGAACTTAGATAGGAATTGTGGTCTGTGATTGGAGATGACTTTGTCATGGAGACCGAATCTTTTGAACACGTGTTTGAAAAATAATTTGGCCACTCCTTCTGAGGAGATCGTTTTGTGACACGGGGTAATGATCACCCCCTTACTAAGCCCATGGTCTACCATGACCATGATGCTATCAAAGCCACTAGAGACCGGCAAATCGGTGATGAGATCCACAGAGAGCTGCGAGAAGGGCCTGGTTGCAATAGATGGAATAGGGGAGAGCGGAGGGGTAATGGGGTGAGTATCCGCTTTCATCTGCTGACAAAGAGCGCAGCCCATGACGTAATTCCGGATGAAGGTGCCCATGCCAGGCCACCAGGCTTCCCGTTTGACCAGTTCTTCCGTTTTAAAATGACCGGGATGCCCGGCAGTCGGGTGATCGTGGTATTTCTGGAGAATAGTCCGGCGATGATTCGGGGGAATGTAAGCTCGGTCTTTGTAAAACAGCACACCATCGGAGATGGACCAGTCGGACAAGGCAGATTTCATGGGGGGAAGGCATAGCCCATTAAGAGCATCTTGGGCGGTGGAGAAGAGGGGGTCACCGAGTGGGGAAGGCGTTGCTAACACGGAGTGGAGATCTTCATCGATTAATCAGATAAACATGGAATCCAGTAGCAAAATGGCATCATTGTTGTTGCCTTTTCCTTTGCTGTAGTCAGGACGACGAGAGAGAGCATCCGGAGCGGCAAGCTTTGATCCAGGCACATGATGCAGTTCTAGATCAAACGTAGCGAGGATCAATTGCCATCTGGCCTGTCGTCTAGACAATCGTTCTGCTTTTCTAAAATAGAGCAGGTTCATGTGGTCAGTGAAGACGATGACTGGCAGGGGATGTCCTTCTAGGTAGTGTCGCCAATGAGTTAGGGCCCGGATGATGGCTAACAGTTCTCGATCATGGATGGGGTAATTTCATTCTGCGGGTGCAAAGGACTGAGAGAGGTAGGCACACGGGTGATATATGCCGTTAGGATCAGTCTGCAGAAGAACTGCCCCGGTTGCGACGAGCGAGGCATCGGTAGCAATAGTGAATTGTCGCAACGGGTTCGGGTTCTGCAGCACTGGATGAGAGGTAAACCGTTCTTTCAGAGTTTCGAAGGCATGCTGGCAATCAGGGGTCCAATTGAATGTAGTGTCCTTCTTTGTAAGATCGGTGAGAGGGCGCGCCAAGTCGGAATAGTGGGAGACGAAGGTTCAGTAGAAGTTGCAGAATCCTAAGAAGGAACGTACTTCCTTGACTGAGGAGGGTGTCGGCCATTCGGCTATGCCGTTGGTTTTTCCTTTATCCATCTCCACTTCTCCGGGTTTAATAATCATCCCTAGGTACTCTACCTCTGAAGAGTCGAACGTGCATTTCTCCGGTTTGACGAATAACCGTTCTTTCCAAAGTTTCTCCAAAATTGCTCTAGTTTGTTGGTGGTGTTCTTCTGGAGATTTGGAGAATATAAGCATGTCATCCATGTAAATGATAAGCCACCCCTCGTTAATTTCCAGTCGGAATGTTTTGTCCATATAGGCTTGGAACATGGCTGGAGAGTTACACAGGCCAAAGAACATGACCATGGGTTCGAAGAGACCTTCTTCCATAATAAAAGCCGCCTTCCATCTATCTTCCGGGTGAATTCGGATATTGTTATAACCGGATCTGATATCAATTTTGGTAAAAATAGTGGCTCTGTGTAACCGTTCGACCAATGAGGAAGGAAGCGGGAGTGGGTAAGCATTCTTGATGGTCTGTTCGTTCAGAAAACGGTAGTCTTGGCATGGTCGTAATTCTCCGCTCTTTTTTCCTACAAAGAAAAAACCGCTTGCTTGAGGGGATTTCAATTTAATGATAAATCCTTTTGCAAGATTTTCCTCGATGAATTGTTTGACCGCTGTTCGTTCGTTGTGGGAAAGTGGATAGATCCACGACATTTTGGGAGTAAAACTGGGTTTTGTTTCAATCCGATGGTCAATTCTGGGTCTTTCCGGCGGGAGTTCCTTTAGTCCGTCTTTGGCGAAGACGTCGGTGAAGTCGTGGAGATAGGATGGGACAAGTTCCTCAAAATTCTTTTTCCTTTTCTCTTTTTCTTCCGTGGTGAATTCTTGTGCCTTGTTGCTAACCTTGGTGACTTCTTCGATTTTTCGAAGGTACTCTCCTTGATCAGTAAGTTCTGAAAGAGAATTGGTTGAGTCATCCCAAGTGTCCTCCTTGGTGTTTTCTCTTCCGACATGCTTCACCTCGGGCCACGGATTCTTCATGTAGTCAGCGATTTCAAGGGACTTCGGGGTCTGGGAAAGAGAGAGAGTCCCTTTTGCCCAGTCGATGGTAGGGTTCATGGCTTGTAACCAGGGTATTCCTAGGAGGATCTGGTCCTTTTTTCCTAGTCAGGTGATATTGAACTTCCCGACCATCATTCGTTGGTCTATCTGCACGATCAGCATGCAGTACCTTTCCACCGGTCCGCTGTTAAAATAGCTTCCATCAGCAGTTCGGATGTAGAAGGGTTCTTCTAATTTCTTCGTCCTTATCTTGTGTTTCCGAACGAATTCTTCTGAGATGTAGGTTCCTGCTGCCCCAGAATCGATAACAGCATCAGCTTCGACGTTTTTGCATGTGCGGGAAATAAGTGTGATTGGGACTCGAAGTTCTTTTCTTTCACCAATTCCTCGTATAATCCGTACAGGTTCTTCTGGAGATCCCATCGTCGACTTGGGTCTCCTTACTAAAAATCCTCAGCAATCCTCCTGGCCTCTTCTTCTTCCACCTTCATAACATTAGGGTAGGGTTCTTTCTTCTTCTGAGGGCATTCCCTTGCCCTATGCCCAACTTGGTGACAGTTGAAGCATTTTCCCAATCGCATGTGTTCCTGCCTAGCTTCATCAGTGATCCTGTCCACCACCATAGCGTCTTTATCTCTTGCGGGGATAAACCTTTGATCCCCTCCCTGGGCGTTTCGTTTCTGGAAGAAGTTCGGCATCATCATTCTTCCTCTTCTGGCTTGTAGTCTGGTGAAGCAGTTGTCAAGGTCGACCACCGCTGTAATGAAATCGTCGAGATTCTTCGGCACTCCTCCGGCATTGTACAATTTGGTAAGGAGCTGGGAGTTTAGTCCGTTCTCGAAGTGGTAAATCCTCATGTGTTCTTCTTTGATCTTTGCTTGGATGAGCAATCTTTGGTAGTCAGCGATGTACGCTTGCAGCCCTTCTGGTCCCTGTTTCAGCTGCAGGATCTTGGCCAATGCAGTCCCGGCAGGGTCGATCGGTGCAAAGGCTTTGTCAAAACTTTCAAGGAATTCTTTCATCGTCCCATATCCCGTCTTTTGTCCAGCAGTATTGATGTGCTGGGCGTTGGTCAGAAATTCTTCTTTCCAAGATCTGGCGTTTCCTTCATTCATAAACGAGGTGATGAAAATGATTTTCTGCTCCTCGGTCTTGTATATCTCTGCGTTGATGTCAATGTATGCATTGCAGGAGAGAATGAAGGACTTGGATTCATTTCGATTGCCGTTGAAAATCGGCGGGTGGTTGATCTTGATTTCGAATGGTTTGGCTTGAGAAGACATGTTCAATGGCGGGACGAGGGTTCCAAGGGATAGGGCTTGGAGTCTGGGGGTTAAAGTCGTCAGGGTGTCTGATCTGTCAAGCTGTCTTGCTTGTCTGGTTTCTTTCTCAAACCGCTAGGATAGGCGGTTTTGTTATCGCGACTTCAATCCTTTGTTACGAACTAGGATAGTTCTAACAGCAAAGGCTCCAACAGAGCGTTCAGTTTGCTGAGATCATCAAGCCCTCTCAGAAGAGAAAGGGGTTCTTTAGACTTAGGTGAAGGGGTGCTTCGACTAAGAGATCGGTTTCAGATGACTTAAGATTGGAGGTCTTAAGCGAAGGAAGTTCAGGATAAAACCTAGTAGGATTGAAGTGAAGTATAACAACGAATACAGCTTGGTTTATATAAGTACGTATCGAGCGCACAGACCTAGGCAATCGTGAGAGAAAAGAGGTACAATCGTAAATGGTAAGCATAGGCCAAATCGAGATAGTTAGTCCGTAAAGAAATAGAAGAAAGAGTAGGGCGGTTGTAACAGCCTCGACAGACAGAAAGTCTCCCAAATTGCAGTTGGGACATAACCTGCCAAATATAAGTGCGCATATATATTATACTAGTAAGATTGAGCTCAACAGGATATAGTACTCACATTGTAGTATAGCCCTCAGGCTGTTGTCATGACTGGACTGGTTTGAAACTGCTCAATCTTTCAAAGTCCGCAACAATGCAGCTCCAGTTTACATTGGCAGTCAGCCTACTATGTATCGCCTGCTGTACTATCAACTGAGAGGACAATGGAATTTGCCCCTTCATCCCCTGTTTCCTCTCCTCCTTGGTCGAGCAGTCCTGCTCCCACTAACTCGAGCTCTGCAACTCGTGTTGAACCAACTTCCTTTGATTTTTTCAAGAAGACAAACTACTCCCACTTGCCTCATTTAATGAGCTCTGACATAGGTTTTGTTTCTGATACAGGTTCTCCCCTTATTCCCCTCTCCCCGGTGGATGAGGTGCCTAAACCTCCTGAGGCAAGGGAGAGTATATTATATAAGGTATGTACTATGTCCCCAAATGCAAACCGGAACATGGTTATATAGGTATTTCCCCAAGTCTCCTTCACGTTGTGGAAAGCTGGGCCCAAAAATGCCTTCCAGGCGTGGAAAGCCTGGCCTTCAAGCCACATCCCCTTCCTGTCGTGGACAGTACCTGCATGACCGAATGTCTAAAAGTTACATTACATACCCTCTCCGTCAGCATCAAGCTCCACTGGAGCTCCAATTTGCAGCCTGTGTTTCAGGGCAAGGATGTAGGCCAGAATTCACTGCCGAAGAAGTTAACAAGGTATGTTTCTTATTGTCAAATATTCCTCAGGTTTAATTCACAGGTCAAAAGCGAGAGGAATTAATTTACAGGGGCCTCTCGCATCTGAGCCTTGCAACTTTGCACTCATTATTCAAGTCAAAGCTTGCTAGTCATGAAGCTGCACGCCAACGTCTTGTGTTGACGGCGTGGGAAGTCGAGGAGTCAGAACAGTTCACAGCATTCCTGAATGGACTCCATCATGAGAACCAAGACCGCCTCCTTTTCAGTGATGAAGAATTGAAAAAGGTCAGAAATTTTTTTTCTGACTGGTCACAAGAACAAATCGACGATGACACAAGCTATCTTCAAGCTGTCTATGATGAGGATTGTGAAATTTTTTGCGCTGTCTCCGCCCAAGCCAAGGTGCTCACAAAGCACCTGGGCTCTCACATCAAAGAAGACATTTTGGGTTCCATAGGAAAGTCTTCTCACACACCCCACTTCATCGGTAAATCTGGTCCATTTTCAGACACAGATGATATGGATGATGACGAATCCGATGATGATGACGAATCCGATGATGATGACGATGATGATGGCGACAAGGCAGCCGATGGTGGTGTTGATGGGTAGTTACAATGGCTCAGAACTTCCTAAATTTTCAAATCATGGTATCTAATTTTCACTTTTAACCATTTTACTCACACTGATCCATATCGTAGTAGATAACCGCCCATTGTTGGATCGCGCCGTTCATATATCACTTCTCAAAATGCCACGTCTTTTCCCCTGTCTGTTCAATATGCTTCTTCAACTAGAACTGGTTTCCCCTTTCTTCTCGAAACACTGCCACCTATTCAATCCGCTTCTCAAACCACTTTGAACTCTCCTTTGATTTTCGCGTAAATATCCTGATATTGACTACAAAGTGTTTCATTGCTCCAAGTCTGTAAGTCGTGTACCGAGTCTGTGTCCCCCTATTCTGTATGTATGAAATTGCATGAAGCGCATGTGACATTTGGATGTGCAATTTTGTACTTATCTTCTTGACCACTACCTGCATGCCAGGTGGGCGTGGTTCACAGCGCAAGGGTAAAGCTGCCATCCCCAAGCTGCCTAGGGGATCAGGCCTCAATCCTTCTGGTCTCCCAGCTGCAGGTCAACTAAATCTTTCCACAGAGCAACCTCAAATGTCGGCTTTCAATTTTGATCCATACGCACAGTCTGTAGGAGAGCGCCAAGGTGAGTAGATTAGGAACACGTCCATCAATTGCTAATCAGTTGTGCAGCCGCGCAGCAACAGTTTCACGATGCCCATGGCTCGTTGTTCTATGGAGATGGAGGTGGCCCGTCATCGTATGGTCCTGCACAGGGCTCGTCGACTTACGGAGATGGAGGTGGCCCATTGTCCTATGGTCCTGCGCAAGGCTTGTCAACTTACGGAGATGGAGGTGGCCCATTGTCCTACGGTCCTGCGCAAGGCTCGTCGACTTATGGAGATGGAGGTGGCCTGTTGTCATATGGTCCCGCGCAGGGCTCGTCGACTTACAGAGATGGAGGTGGCCTGTTGTCGTACGGTCCTGTGCAGGGCTCATCGTCTTATGAAGATGACGACTTCTATAATCACTTCCAGGACGCTTGACTCAACTCAGGTCCATCCTTTGCTGATTTCCCGCCTGATCACCATCCTAGACAGGTAACACCCATGCCTTGGTGGATCGAGGAGGCACCAGATGGGGGCTCCAATGTCACAGAACAACAGGGGGGTCCATTGCCCCCGGCCTCAAATTCGACAATGATCCAACAGGGAGAAATTCCTGTATTGGAAGTAGTACATGTGAGTGTTTTCTTTCGTTAATTGTTGATTAAATTTAACAAGGTGCCCACAGACAGTGGGACCTGTGAGGACGACCCAGGTGTGCACAGCCCAGCATGTCAATATGCCCATAACACAGTACCTGGTGTCACAAGCCCCTGCCATTTCCACCGAACAGCATGAGACACCAGACGACGCTCAAGATGAAGCATTGTTGTCTCGAAACATCATTAGACTGGCGAAGGACGATATCAATCACGCGATGGGGGGCGCCAAAGTCCTGATCATGCGACTCCTATTCTTGAGGAATGCAATGGTGCACTCTAGACAGAAAAAGAGGCACTTCGTCGATAAGGCCATTGAAGACTCAATCCCACAGTTTTACAGGCCCAATGGTGAGTTTCCTATATTTGGATCAGACTTTTTTGCTAATCTTCGTAGTTGTATTTCAGTCCTTCATCATGAACGCACACCATAAACAGGTTGCAAATGCCCTGTCCACTAAACATGGAAAAATTATCGATTTCGTGTGGGATGGCGTTTGCGATGCATTCCAACTGTTAGCCCCATGAGGACACTCATTACCACCAACCCAGTATCGCATTGCCAGGGTCAGCCGCCTCATTCAGGGCACTGACCCTCTCTTGTTCATGCACGATTTCTATTTCGACAAGGTATGTCGAGCAATTATCAAGTTTTACTATCTACTTACCACGTCTTTCGCAGAATGATAATATAATTGTTCATGCCAAATTCCAGAACCAATTTGTTATGGCCAATGTCATCAGATTCGTGTGGTATTGGGGCTCCACATCGTTCCTCAACATGTCCTCACTCAAGGCCATCAAGAATGTCATAGGCGTAGCTGGCGCAGCTATGCACTGCACATTGTACGAACAAGCAAAGGTGCAGTTAGATATAGACCCATTCGGTGGAAAAGCCCACAGCGATAAATTCAAAGAAATCATTGGCGCAATGGATGGGCTTACAGGTGCAGAAAAGATTGAGTTGGAGGCGCATTTACAGTATGTATTGGAGATCGGACCATCACAAGCATGGGGCGACGAGAGCTCATCAACATCTGACTCAGGGATCAGTGATTGATGTACTAGATAATCATGATGTAGATAATCACGATGTATTAGTAGCAGCATTAACAAGATAATCAAGCCAATAACGCAGGATCTCGCATTGGACTATCTCTTAAGGTGTCAGGGTCTAACTTAACCAAAATTTGGCATTACGGACACTGACCTGAGCTAACTAAAACGTATTTGCACACAAGCATTTGGTGGGCCTTTGGTGAGTGCTTTCAAGACAAGTCACGTTTGCTGATGTAGTAGGATAGTTACGTACCCGCCCTGAATTATGGTGTGTTTACATGAAATCATTCCATGTAATATGCAAGCAAAATCTTTTCCAACTCCTCAACCACATTATATGAGGAACTCAGGTTGTCCTGCAGCTAGTAGTAGGGCAGGCACCGTAGTAAATCTACCATGCTATTGGATGCGTGATTATGGGGAATTCAGAGACTCCAAGAGTGAGTACTAGTATAAGGTCTAGTTCGTGAGTGTGTAGACGTTGGTATCTGAGGTGAGTGACAATAGCCTGGTGAGTAACACAAGAAAGCTCATATTTTGAGATCTTGGAACCTCAGGCCTCAGGAGCACAGGGGAACCCACTTTTATTGGATTTGACATAAGGTGGTGTCATGTTGATGGTCATGTGACCTTAGCCTGTTGTGAGTTTGAAACAGCTAGATGGCATTTTATTTTTCTGGGTTTTATGGTTTTTAAGATAGGCCTCAAGCAGTTTCTGCAAACATCACGTGATAAAGCGTGATGAAGCATGACAAAAGCAATGAATGTGTATAGGATGTCCGTGGTGACAAGATATAAAAAAACAGAAACGGAAGAGTTGTGGTATACATACTCCTTGATAAGTCATCCGTTCCATAATTACCATTTGTGTGAAATTGAAGGAGGAGATAGCGACACAAGCAAGGTTTGAGGCATACATTGTATCTGGAGTCCCGGTACCAAATGCAGTAATCACAGGTAAAGTCACAGCAAGTCACATCACGTGATGTTTGCGGAAACTGCTTGAGGCCTATCTTACTTATTTCAGTAGAGCGCCTCTGTTGAAATTCTCATAGAGTAGGTTGGTCCTTTCAGTGATAAAATTTTTTATGAGAATTCCGTGATTATGCGCTAGATTTCAATAGAAGCTCTTTAAAATAACTCAGTAGTCAAATCACTGACGATGTATCTACTACCCACAGTGTATTATAATTATGGCAACATCAATGTAGCCTATGACCACCATGGGCTCGGGCCATGTCAAGACTAGCGACATGGTAGGCCGGCATTGTAGATTCACTCTCGTGATGACTATCGTAGCGAAGGGGAACTATCAACCCATTATGATAAAAGTGATAGAAATGGTGGTTCGCGATCAACAAAATACTGTGTCATAGTTACTGGAAAAAAACTGTCCCCGCGCACTGCAAAGTGTATGGATTTTTCTCTCATCCAGGTGTAGACAATGCGAGGCACCGGTAATGTCAAAAATGAGCCATCAACAGGAACATGTCCGTCTATACCGCTAGCTAATAAGGCGATCCTCCTTCTAGACTGGCAGCTTGCCTGTGCCTCAGGCTTCCTCCTCTGGAATCCACCTCTAGCATGTCAGTGGCATGAGCATTGTAACGGGCAACCCTAATAGCATCCAAATAAATTTCTGGCTGTTAGGTGATTCAAAAGGGCACATACTTTTTTAGAGGAGTGTTGAATACGTAGAATGCGACCATAAGCAGGATATAAATTATTACACAGGTTACTGCAGACATGGCTTTCATGAAAACCTTGTCGGATGTGATGCCTGCAATAAATACGGCTGAACAGGCATTGAGAAAGGTGATTTGAAATCGGAACGTGGATACACAAACCTGCCATTAAAGCCAGTGTCGAGGCTACCAGAGCCAGTGAAGGAAACGCCATCAGCATAAGGCAGCATATAAGGCGCAAGCGGGATTCCTTGAACGACTGGTAGTTGCTATTACTCAAACCTAAAGGCGTATGAAGGCAGGCAAATGACGCACTTCCAATATGTCTGCGTGTGCATAGCAAGGGTCATAGATGATGACGACAGAAGTACCAACGATCAGACTGATCAATGCAGCTACAAAAGAGAAAACTTCGAGAGTATACGACACTGGGCACGTATTAGCACAACAGAGTGGTCAGAGGAGGAACTCTACCGTGCTGAAGGACTTGTCAGTTTTGACATACGAGCACGATAATGAAAAATGCTTACATTTGTGTAGGGCACAAGAAGTTCAATTGCTGAGAAAAACAGGTAGATTAGCTTTTTCACAGTTTTCCTACAGAACAAAAAAACGACTTGCGAGGATTGGTAGTCATGAAAACAGTACTTGACGTCAAAACCTGCGAAATGAAGTCAGGACGATTTTAGAGCAGCTTTTCATAGTTTGATTACCAGACCCGCCTGCAAATAAGTTTCAATAACGGAAAGAGCATACCACCAATATTGTGCTTACTGTGATGTTCATGTTTTGAAATCGAGCTATCACCATTTTTTTGTGCTTCTCCCATTGCTCTTCTGTCGAACTCCGTTGATAAACTTCCGGATCCTGCCTGGATCTTATCGAATTTTGTCTGAGCTCTTCCCAGTGTTCGACTGACGACCTCGATATAGCAATCATACACAACAACTTGTAGCAGCCACGAGAGAAAACATGTTTTGGCGGAGCACACCAGGAGTTATCGTAGTGCGATGAGGTGGGAGAGGTGGTTGTCATCAGACTCATACTAGATATGGGTAGATGCTGAGAATAGTGCACCATAGTGTGGTATGCATATTTATACAGCACTAGCATATAAGCGGTTCCACCAGGAATTGATACACGCGGAAGGAACTCAGCTGCGAGCAGAGCAGGAGAGTACACGAAGCAATCTTCATTAGCGGCCTCAGTCATTAGAACGTCAGATACATTGTTCCTTGAATGGAAGCTCGCCAATAATGAGATACGTATGGAAGTATACGTAGAACATTAACTTGTCCATCATAAGCCTGCAGGATCACAACCACAAAGTCCAGGGTTCAGATCGCTGGACAGATTAGGGTGGCGTCTAATCATAGCGCTTCATCGATACCAGCTGCGCAGAGGCCACAGCCAATGCACTCCAAACATGCTGGTAACACAAGTCAGGGTTGTTGCAATGGAGGTGGAATAGTTCCGCTTACCGAGCCCACCACAACATGCACACAAGTAGCATGGGCAACATAGGGGATTCTCAAAGGCGCCTATGTAATAAACATGAGGCAATAAGCGCTTTGAAGAGTGTTCAAACTTCGAGCCAACCTTTGCAGCACCAGAAACTGAGCATTACGGCGGCTAGCAGGACGAGGACAAGGCCGACGAAAATAATAATTAGGTACACTGAAGTGAGTGTCAGAAAGATCAATGAACGAAGACATTATTGTCCTACATTTTTTGCTCGTGAAGCTACTACCCGTACTAGTGGTTTGGCGCTTGTCCAAAACGCCACTGACATGTCCGTGATTAAGTCCGAGTGCTTCTAACAGATCACCAATCTCCGAGCAGTGGGAAATGATCAGAAAGGCGCCTATGGAGAGAAGGGAAAGCGCTATAGGAAGGATGATACGTCGCAGCCTCGATTTGTGGCAGGCACGATGTGATGCTGAAGGGCATTCACACGGATAATTTAGATTGTGGTCGTTGTGTTGACATGTAAGACTTCTCTTCTCGTGAGTTGAAAGAGGACCATACACGTCCATAGTGCTTGTATTGGGCTGGCTGGAAATCAGAGACATAGTGGTTGCTGGCAAGATGCGCTACTGCGGCAATTTGATACACTACATAGCCACTCTGGATCAACAACTATTCCCAATTCGGACATTCAATATTCAATATTCAATATTCAATGTTCAATGTTCATTGAAGTCGCATGCAAACTGTACGGTGCCGACTCCATGACCACATGCACACGCATCATGCAAGTGTGTCGTACATCATAGAGTGTGGCCATGGCAGTCCATGTCAACCTGGAAACCCCTGGAGAGCGCCTATGTATCTTTTGATGAAATGTACGTTCGGATCATCGCGCTCACAATCATCTGCTAGCCTTTCAGTGCTCAACTCATCGGCAGGACTAGTCTGTGTGTAAAAGATAAAATGTCCTAGCGAGCGATCGAATATAATAATATATCCTACAACGATTTATCACTCCTGATTCTAAAATAACTGCAAAGGCTCAACATCGCAACCGCAACTAGAACCCCAACACCAAACTTCCGCAGCCCCATTCTAACGGTGATTCGCTTTTCGCCCAATGCTCCGGCAGCATCAATTGCAGCAATATCCTCTTTTGAAAGCTCTGCCATGTCAACATGTAAAGTCACTGACATACCAAATCACTCCCCAAAATGGCGCTCACCAATATCGCCTGCATCTTGATAGCCTTCTAAACGTGTTTTCTTGGAGCTGGTTCTAGAAGGGCATTAAGATTTGATGAACCACACCGTTGGAAATCGAAGTGGAACCTACGTGACGATAACGGCACCTTTAGCCTTTGTCCAAGCGAGAAGCACCTGATCTGTAGTTGCCCCAAGTCGAGTGGCGATCTCGTTCAGTGGAGCGTCTAATGGGCCACTGGGTTCCTTGGTGAGTGGTCTGCATTCTCACATTAGTCGCGTGTAGGTGATGCAATACAAATTTCCTACCGGAGGGCGCTGTATGCCTCAATAACAATGTCATGTTCAGCAGCGTACTCCACTATAGGCGTCTGTTGTAAGTAAACATAGGGATGGAGAAGGATCTTTCTCGAAGGTCAGAACCCTGCGATCAAATTGCATCGTGTTGTTCTCTTACCTGATTCACAGCAGGTTTGATTTTCGCAGACGCCAACAGAATTTCCAAGTCTTGTACACCAAAATTACTTACACCAATACTCCTATGTAATGAGCGGTGAGCCAAAATAGCAAATAAGTTTGTTGTAACATACTTTGCCAGTCCATCCTCCACCACCTTCTCCATTTCTGCCCACGCTGTTGGGATGTCCGGTACCGCGAGGCGTGGGTTATGAATCAGGTATAGGTCTACGTAAGGCGTTCCGATCTGGTATCATTAGCATCTAGGGTGACTGGTCGTGCTGAGTCACTCACGTTGTTGACGCTGTTTCTGATCGCAGTAGGAATATCCAGCCCGTCGAAGCCAGAGTATTTAGTCGTTATGAATACATCGCCACGCGACAGACCGCTTTCATGAAGAGCGATGCCCACTTCACCCTCATTTCTGTACCCCTGAGCGGTGTCTACAAGATTCTCAGACCTTCATACAACTGCAATGCTCGGTGGTGCTTGCCAATGTGGTAGTATTGCGTATCGAAAGCTTGTGCGATCTGGTCGATGGGACCCTGCCCGTTCCCAAGGGTCCATGTACCATAAGCAATGCTCGGCATAATGTAACCTGCTGGTATTGAGTGAATGGGAATTATTCCACCTCATTTGAACTTACCGGAATTCAGCGTGACAAGATCCCAAGTCATAGTTTTAATACCGTCTCTAAATCAGGCTTGGGTAGGATGGTTGCCAACTAAGAGGCTGTATGTGAGACGACTGAATCGCAAAGGCCCAGCCTCCACCCACTGGGTGAGAAGAGGATATGAATAGATACACTTGAGGCTAATCTTAGTAATTCATTCGTATCATATGTGATGGTCAATGCTTTCTTTCCAGCACTACTGTACACAATTCCGGGCTGGTCAGATATAACACTTGCCGAGTACATAGAACAATGCAAAGCACTAGTTCAAAACAACGCAAACATCTTAACAAATAAGACATCAACGGTAACACGTCCGTCCATACCATCAGCTAATGGCGTAACCCTCCCCCTAGACCTGACGGCTGCCCGAATGCGCTGGTTTGCTGTGATCATCAACACTCAAATTAGTTTTCGAATCAAGCAAGATTTGAATGGGAGGCACATACTCTTGAGAAATCCCGCTATCACGGATATCTGTGGTATGATTATCTTCTTCGTGTGAAGCAATCCTGATAGCACAGCACCCAGATTAATTTCTAGCCAGCGAGTGATATGTAAGATCACGTACTCCTTTATACGTTCGCTGAATACATATACTGCGAGTGCGCCGAGGAAAAGCAGTGCTAAATAGGTTGTTGCAGTCATAATTTTCACGAAGAGTTTGTCGGATGTGAAACCAGCTATAAAGAAGGCTAGAAGGGTGTTGATATTAACAACTCGAGATTGGGACGTGCATACAAATTTACATGTCATCAAAGCCAAGGTCGAAACTGCCAGAGCCAGGGACGGATACGCCATCAGTATAAGGCAACATATGCGACGCGGGCGAGAATTCATTAACGACTAGCAATTACTGTTACTCAATTCTAAAAGGCGTATGAAGGTAAAATACGAACTTTCAATACCCGGTCATTTGCATAGCAAGTGTCATAGATGATGAGGACAGAAGTACCAATCATCAAACTGATCAACGATGCTACAAACGAGCACAGTTGAAGGATATACGATCCTATGCACACATCAACCTAACGAAGTCTCGAGAAGAGAAAATGTACCATGCTTGAAGAACTTATGAGTTTCCAAGTGCCAGCGGAAGATAAACAAAAGATGCTCACACTTGCATAGGGCATTAGAGGGTCAAATGCTAAGAATAACCGGCAGATTAGGACTTTGTAGGCTTCCAACAAGATAAAGATGACTTGCGAGGTGTAGTAGATACAAAAACAGCAGTTGTAGTCAAAACCTATTCAATGAAGTCAGCCACGTTCCTCGAGCAGCTTTTCAAAATTTTACCAGACCCGCCTGTAAGCAAGTTTCAATGACTGAAGGAGCATACCGCATATACTTACCGTGATGTTCATGTTTTCAAACCGATTTACTACCATTTCCTTGTGTGCTATCCATTCTTTCTTTATCGGACGCTCTATGAGGTAACGCCAGTGATCAAGCGACGGCTTTGATACAGCGATCAAGCACAACGCCTTATAGCAGAGGCACAAAATGATATTTTCCGGTAGAACATCGTGCCATGGTTCACCATTGTTCATGCTTGGGCGCACAGGCGACGTAGGACGAGATTCAGCGGATGAGGTACTAGATGATCTGGTGGGGGTTGTCGTAGCCATGGGTAGAGTGACCAAGAACAATATACAAGTGTTGAATGTATATATACTTCGGCAGCATGTGAGATGGTCCTACCAGGATCCGATACAACCGCGGAAGCGAGAGCAGAACAGCCGCGAGGAGAACGCAAGGATTGTGAGTAATATTTGTTGACAGCCTCGGTCGCTGGAATGATATATACACACGCAGTGTTCTATAAAATAAAAGCTCACATTCTGGATACGAGATGTATGAAAGTCCATGCGGTATAATAACTTATCCATTTAAAGACAGGTAAGCTCACAGAACCATAACCGCAACATCCAGTGCTCAGATCGCTTGAGACTAGATTACAGATAAAGGCCGATCCCCATTACGCAAAGGCTGCAGCCAGTGCACTCTAAACATGCTGGCAACACAAGTTAGGGTCGCGTAATATGGAAATGGTATAATTTTGCTCACCGAGGCCACCACAACATGCACGCAAAGGCATGGGCAACACTACATGTATAGATTCTCAAAGGCGCCTGTGTGAAGGCAAAAAAATGCTTTCAAGAGTGCTAGATCAAAGGCCTTTCCGGCACTAGACGCGATCGATCATTTTAGTGTAACGACGCGCGACCGTGACCAAGTACAAGTGCTCCCAGCAAATCACCGACTTGTGAGTAGTGGGAAATGACCAGGAAGGCGCCTATGGAGAGAAGGAAAAATACGAGCCACCAGGAAAGATGATCAGCGCCGCACTTCGTTGCATGCAGTGTCTGGTGCTGAAGGAAAATGGCATGGCTTATTCAATTGTGGTCACCGTGTTGACATTAACGTTGCATTGAGGATTGTTGCGACAGTGCATGTGCGGCTGCGCTGAACAGTGGATGTGACCTTGGTCAGGGCCAGAACTATTTCCGAATCCGAATCCGAATCAACCAAAATTTTAACATTCGCTACTCAAGGTTACATAACTTCAATGTGAACGCTACAGCTATCTTTTGACGAAATTCACGTTCAGATTGAGCTCACAATGAGTTGCCAGCCTGAAGCTAAAACAGCAAATGAGGTTTGTCGTAATATGCTTTACCAATCACTCCTTCACTTTCACCATTTCTGCCCACGGCGTCAGGATGTCCAGTACCGAGGGGCTGTTTTTGATCGCAGTAGGGATATGGAGAATGGCGTAATTTGTTGCCTCTGTGAAGAGCAATCTCACCCTCATTTCCGTACCCTTGAACGGTGTCTACAAAACACTTGGACCTTCAAAGGATTCATACAATCATGATCGCGATGCTTTTTGCAGAGAAGGGGATTCGAAGGCGACCTTCATCGGGTAGGAGGTCCGAGGAAAGACATAAATATATACTGGTGAGAGTAATCTTACATACTATGTGGTGTTTCCTCAAGCGCGTAGTCTATATGATGATCAATCTCTCTCCAGCACCTCTACAACGTTGCTCCGCTTGCCTCGACCTTTGAAATAGCTACAGGCAACCAAGATCAGAATCCCAAACAAAACGCCCACCCCGAGTTTACGCAGCCCATGTCTGACCGTGATTCCTTTCTCTCCGATAGCGCCCGCGAGATCAATTCTCTTGACGTCCTCTGCAGATAGTTCTGTCGTAACGCATCAGACCTGCAACATGGTCTGTCATTTGCAATAAAGTAACTCGCCAAGATTTCCGGCGGAGAGGTAACTTAGAAGACGCGCTTTTTTAGAGCTGGTACTGCGGGGTTTCGACGTCAACAACGTCACCACCCAACCAACTCATAAAGACACACGTCACCATGACTGCGCCTTTTGCCTTGATCCATGCAAGGAGCACCTGGTCAGTAGTAGCTCTAAGCCTCGTAGCGATCTCGTTTAAAGGGGCGTCCACAGGGCCTCCTGGCTCGCTTGTGACAGGCCTTCAAATATCATGAATAGACTTTCAAATAATCTCGGAAATCATCGCACGTTAAAGCACCGTACGCCTCAATCACGATATCGTATCTAGCGGCGTACTCCATAGTGGGAGACTGTTGCTGGTAATTGTAGGGATGCAGGTAAATCTACATCATGGAGCGGCCGCGCCTTGAATTTTGGTATCTGCTCGTAATCGGTCCATTTACTTACTTGATTAGCAGCTGGCTTGATCTTTGCAGACGACAACAGAATCTCTAACTGCTTCTCATTGAAGTTGCTCACGCCAATGCTCCTGCGGTTGGTGTCAGCTTCCGAATTCAATGAATTGCAAGAACAGATAACTACCTGGCGAGACCTGCTTCTTGGACTTTCTCCATTTGAGACCAAACAGTTGGTATGTCTGGCACAGCTAGATCCGGGTTATGAATGAGGTACAGATCGACGTAAGAAGTGTTCAACTGTGATTGTTAATCGACGTCTTCCCGTGCATACAATACATGACTGCTACGCACGTATTCCAAACTGTTTCGGATTGAAGTCGGGATATCGAGTCCATTGGAGCCAGAGAACTTTGTTGTGATGAATACATCGGAACGCTCTAGCCCAAGTTGGCCGATGGGGATGCCAACCTCGGCCTCATTTCCGTAAAGCTGAGCGGTATCTGCTCGCTATTGGCAGGGATGCCACGATCAGTCTCGGTTGTGCTCACCAATATGATAGAATCCTGTATCGAAGGCCTGTGTGAGCTGATCTATTGGCCACTGACCACTTCCCAGCGATCCAGTCCCATACGCGAGGCTCGGAATGCTATATCCTGCTCAAATATTGAGTAACCTTACGTGAGCGTGTCTCTATGTATCGTTGAACGCACCGGAGTTCAAGGGGATCAAGTCCCAAGGCATTATTAACGTGTTCTCGTCTCGACTAACCTTGCAGGATATTTCTCCAAGTCACTTGTCCGTTGTCGCCTATGAGAAGGTTCTGGGACAAGGCTTGTCCCCATTGATGAAAACATAATGCAGACCGTGACATTACTCACATGATCTATTCTCACGTCAGAAATGGTTCTATTTGAGTCGTTCCGCAGCCCAATGAGACATTTTTGCTGAATTAGAAGTACAACTTGAAGATGAGCCAGCACTTGCGACATTTGACCACTCGCCGAACGCCAAGGATAACTGTGCATCATGCAGGCACCGAAGAATTTACATGCATCAGACACTGTAGTCAACCCTTCTCAACATGGTCTTTACATTTACTTTTCCTCGCCCAAAGCACCCGCAGCGTCGATGGCAGCAATATCCTCCGCAGACAAAGCTATAGCATATCATTTAGAACTACTTCAAGCAGTTGATCTAGCGAGACTCACTTATATCACCTGCCGCAATGTAACCTTGCAGGCGCGTCCTCTTTGAACTTGAGCTAAACGGAACACCGTCAATGAGAAACTTGCAAGATACTACATGTAAACTCACGTGACGACGACGGCCCCCTTGGCTTTGGTCCACGCCATAAGGATCTGTTCGGTCGTCGCACCGAACTTGGCTGCGATTTCGTTCAATGGTTTGTCCAAAGGACCGCCAGGTGACTTTGTGATGGGGCTAGGGATGATAATCAGCACGAACGCATGTGTTAGGGAGTCTGAAATCATCTAACATCAGCGCGCTGTAGGCCTCGATGATGATTCCATTCTTCGCGGCATACTCAAGGATAGGTTTTTGTCGTTCATAGACATATGGATGAAGGAGAATCTATGCCAAATTTTCACTAAAGTTCAATTCAGCTTTGGGCCATTCGATGTTGCACACCTGATTGACTGCAGGTTTAATTCGCGCAGATGCTACCAAAGTCTCCATGTCTTTGACGCCAAAGTTACTGATACCAATGCTCCTGCGATCACAAGTCAGATTGTCATACAGCTCCACTTCGCAAGTCATTCACTTAGCAAGTCCGTCATCCTGGACCTTTTCCATTTGCGCCCAACATGTTGGGATGTCAGGTACTGCCAGGCGCGGGGCGTGGACCAGATAGAGGTCAACGTCCAATAAGCCAAGCTATGTAGCCGTAAATGTCATAAAAGCACTGACACCAAGGTAAAACAAAACATACGTTGCTCAAACTGTTCTTGATGGAAGTCGGGATGTCAAGACCATTTGTACCGGAGTACTTGGTTGTCACGAAGACATCTGAACGAGAAAGTTCGGTCTCTTTCAAAGCAACACCGGTTTCTTCTTCATTCTTGTAGGCCTGCGCTGTGTCTGCACGATGGGATTGGTGTCGTCAGAAGTTGTCACTCGGAGACACCTAGGGATCGAGGGCTCACCGATGTGGTTGTATCCATTTCCCAGAGCCTGTTTAACCTGGTCGATAGGTCCTTGGCCATTACCTGTCTTCCAAGTACCGAATGCGATACTTGGCATGTAGTATCCTGACATATTGGTCCCCTAGTCAGTACTGGTTCGGAGGTAATGAAAGAAACACCAACCAGAATTCAGCTTGATCGGCTCCCAAGGCATTGCGACAAATGATAGAGGATTACTTTGAAGGACTTGGAAAAGAGGATGGGTTTATGTGGGTGAACGAACAGTTGATTAATATTCCATTTGGCATCCAGTGAGCACATGCTTATCATGCACATGAGTCCTAGCGATATGAATAGACCCAGCATGCTCTGACATAGATTGGTAGATCATGGGATTTGTCTATCTGGAATAAATGATTGTGAACAAGCGTGGTTCAGACATGAGGATGGGAAACTTTTGAAAATAGTTTTATTTGACTAGTCATGCAGCATGCAATATTTTTGATGGACTGGCGGAATGATGAACAAGTACTAGAGACATTTGAGTATTTATCAAAGGCTAACAATCACTTTACATCATGCTAATGCTGAAGAAGTTGCATGCACCAAAGACTGCAGTGCAAGCGATCGCTCCTACGACAACCCTTTTCAGTACAGTCTTCATGTTTACTTTTTTCTCGCCCAAAGCGCCTGCAGCATCAATGGCAGCAATATCCTCCGCAGACAAAACTAACGCAGATTGTTGAGAAGTAGTCACAACAGTTGAACCAGTTGAACCCACCTATATCACCTGCCGCGAGGTAGCCTTGCAGGCGTGTCTTCTTTGAACTTGTGCTAGATAGGCTTCTGTCAATGGGGAACTCTAAGATACCCCATATAGACTCACGTGACGACGACGGCCCCCTTGGCTTTGGTCCACGCCAGAAGGACTTGTTCAGTTGTTGCACCGAACTTCGCTGCGATTTCGTTCAACGGTTTGTCCAAAGGACCACCGGGTAACTTTGTAATGGGGCTAGGGATGGCAATCAATGCAAACAATATATCAGGGAGCTTGGAGATAACTAACATCAACGCGCTGTAGGCCTCGATGACGATTCCATTCTTCGCAGCATATTCAAGAATGGGTTTCTGTCGTTGATAGACGTATGGATGAAGGAGAATCTATGTCCAGTTATGAGGAAAAGTCTTGGACAATTTCGATGCTACACACCTGGTTGACCGCAGGCTTGATTTTCGCAGATCCTAACAAAATCTCCATGTCTTGAACGCCAAAGCTGCTGATACCAATGCTCCTATAGTCGCAAGTCAGAATGTCATATGGTACTATCTCGTAAATCATTCACTTAGCAAGTCCGTCCTCCTTGACCTTTTCCATTTGCGCCCAACATGTTGGGATGTCAGGTACTGCCAGGCGCGGGAAATGAACCAGATAAAGGTCAACATACGATACCCCGAGCTATTTAGCAGTAACTGAGTCATGAGAGCACTGACTTCAAGCTAGGACAGAACATACGCTGTTGACACTGTTCTTGATAGAAGTTGGGATGTCAAGGCCATTTGTACCGGAGTATTTGGTTGTCACAAAGACATCTGAACGAGAAAGTCCGCTCTCTTTCAAAGCGACGCCAGTCTCTCCTTCATTCCCGTAGGATTGCGCAGTGTCTATGAGATAGGATTGATGTTAACATAAGCTGGAGCTGTGAGGTGCTTGGACTTGCCGATATGGTTGTACCCATTTTCCAGAGCTTGTTCAACCTGGTCGACAGGTCCTTGGCCATTACCTAGCCTCCCAGTGCCGAATGCGATACTTGGAATGTAATATCCTGACATAAGGGCCACCTTGTCAACGTCGGTTCTAAGGCGACGAAACAAACACCCACCAGAATTCAGCTTGATCGACTCCCAAGGCATTGCGACGAATGATAGAGGGTTACTTGGGACAGCTGGAAAAACAGTGGGTTTATGTGGTGAGTGGACGGCTGGCTATTCAAATTGGTGTCCCATGGACACACGCCTATCTAGCCTAATATGATATGATCAAATAGACCCAACCTGCTGACACAGGAATTGATAGCATCAGAAAGATTCTGAAGGAGGGATGGGAAACTTTGAAATTGGAGGATACACTGCTTCCGATTACCGCCGAGTCACTGGTGGACATGGTGGAAGTTCTCATAATTACTACGTGCTTATTGCAATGAAGGTAGTTCCAAGTCTACTCATTCTCCAGGATAATTTGTTGGGAGTGGTAATAGATGTATGTTTATAGCGTTATTTGTATTCCACTGGTGTGAACCCCGAAGCACATGTGACCCTATACCGTGAGGCACGATCTATGTTTCTTCAAATTCAAGGATCTCTCGCGACCAATACACACCTTCTCTCCACCAACGGCATCCTCCCATCTCGACCTCGCGCAGTGTTGGATACTTACCATGCAGGCAACGAATGAGTTTCCGTTGCTTGACACCTTCCGCACACCGTATGTCCTCGTTTCCCATCAAACTATGTGATAGCCTAAGTGTCACCAGCTTGGGCGGAAGTGGGGCACGACCCTCCGCTAGCCAACTCAGAAGACCCTGAAAGGATTTTCGTTGAAGCATGGCCTTATTTGCGATTCGACGTACCTGCATGGTGTCCACAGTATCAAGTGGTTCACCAGTATAGTCGAGGCCGAACTCAGAACTTGACTCGGAAAGAGTAATAATTTCTTCCTGTGGAGACAGCGACGCATGAACGAAACTACACAGTATGAAGGCAAATATCACACTGACGGGTGTGAGCGGTGGGGGCCCCGAGATAAGACCTAAGTCCAGGCGATGAAGATCCGGAAGATGCTTCGCGATGGCGGCGAGATTATCTAAAGTGGGCAGAAAGTACTCGATTGCTAGTTTCCTGACTGGAACTGTGGAACGTGAGATGTCGCGCACGGTCGAGACCAGCTCGGTATGGATAGCATAATCTGGTCGATCGTCATCCGTAGTGACCATCATGAGCATGAGGCAAACACAATCGACCGGTCGTCCAGGCACGATGTACGAAAGCAGGTTTGGATAGCCGTCGTAAGACCGAAGGGAAGACAGGGGTGGCAACGGGTGCGGGGGTGTAATGTTTGCAGACCAGGGGAAAATCCTCAATGTTGCTAGGGCAGGTATTGCTGCAAGGAATCTGAAGAAATGGTCGCGGCTCGGGGATGTAACAAATATGCTTAGATATGTGAGGTGGGGAAAGGGCGGCATGGACGAAAGGACCGCTAGTACAGTGTGGGTGATAAGAAAGTCGATAAGAGTAAGTTTTTGTAGATATGTTGGGTTACAGAGCACAGAAACCAGGCGTTCTTCGATCGAACGAGGACCGAAGTTGTCTCCAGCGATTGCAAGTTCCTTTAGCTTCAGCGGGCGCTCCAAATGAGATGAAGGCGGGAAGAAGCACGAGATGAGTCTGAGGGTGTCCAGAGCAGGGAGGCATTCGATGATAATCCATTGTTGCCTTCCAAGATTCACGCGCACAAGTTCAAGAGAGCGGAGATTACGACTGCACGTCAGAAACGGAAATATGGCATCGACCGATCTCGAGGCCAGGTTCTTCTCCTGCGAGCGCGCAAAGAAGAACATGCTGTTCCTGATCGCCGGTGCAGTTGAGACCGTCCAGTCCTGAACCATGTCCCAGAGTTCACTAGCACTTGGATCTGAATAGAAACTTGTGATTCGGGTAGCAGCACGCTCGAGCATCTTAGGAGCTTTGTTCGTTGAACGGCGGACTAGGTTCTGGTTCAAGGGGGGGACCGCCGGAGATGGCAGGGTGACATTGAGCGACTGAAATATCCTAGATCTCGAGGTATACCAGAATACGCGGGACACGCCGGACACTTGAAACAGATCCCGTCGTCTGAGATAACTCCAGCAATGATCAAGAATTTCGGAAGGCAGCTTCAGAATCGGTGGGTTCTCCAAGATGGAGTTAAGTTTGGAGTGCTCCGTGTCGAAGTTGAACATCGACCAGCGATGATAAAATACAGGTATACCGCGGAAGAGAGGGGTGGACTAGTTTGATGTAGGGAGTAGGTTGCGAGCAAACACCTTTGCAAGACCGGTTCTTGTCGTTTGCGTTTGTGTATGTTTGCTAATTGGCATCGTTGGAATTCGGTCGGCATTCGGGTAACAAGAACGCACTCGGCGAGGCGAATTCGAAAGTTGTATATCAAGAGTCGACAATCACCGGTGAAGACATTGTTTGCAAGAGGGAGACGGCTGTAGCCTGGTCCGTCTATGGCCGGGTCACAATCGGAAAGTACTTAATGGCCCTTCTTGCCTCTTTCTCCAGGACTTCCCGGATGTTGTCTATTCGGAAATCCTTTACCACGAATCGAGTGAGAACATGAATAGAGCACTCTTTGGGTCTATGTGGACCCTAACAGTAAACGTATTACAGCAATCTTAGCAGTTTGCTGAATGTATCAACTCCTACGGGCCCATCTTGCTGCGGGTCTGGCATGGCAAGGTCATAGTCATCACCGGCAGACACCAGGTAAGACAGTTCTAATACTGGTTAGCACGTGCTTTCATACTCACTTGCGCAGGAATCGAAGAGAAAGGAGGTGGTCTGCCAGCGGATCGCCCTCGTATGGTTGCAGCAGGAGAAATTTCGTCTTGTGGGCTGCGCATGACCCTTGCACCCGCAGGAGAGCATTTCTGAAGACTTGGCAAGTTGTCTTTATGTTTTCTCTTGGCGAATTGTCTTGCTGATGTGATTTCATCCAGGGCAGTGCACACTCATCCAGGTCTTTGGGGGAAGGTTGTAGACTCATATGCGCCCATCCAGACAGACGCCACCCGTGATGTCGACATGTCATCCTTGACATCCTTGAAAACCATAAAGGACATTAAGCAGTTGCAAATCGGTGTGTGGCACTTCGCGACATCTTCTATAACCACTTTAACCCATTCGACACAAGACACCGCCCTGCGTGTCACATATGGAAAGTCCACGCCACACCCGGGATCATCGACATCCACAAAATATTCAAGCACTTCCAGACGTTCATGTGACCTGGGGCTTCGACTCCCAGTTGTTTGTAGGCAAGTGGCAAAGCCGGTCCTTCGTTTGTTCGGTACCTTCTTGAGAACTAATTTTCACACAAGCTTTCGCACGAAGAAATGGCCTATGGATTACTCCGGCTCAGACACGACTGCTGTGGCGATCATGTATGTCGTCATGTCTTCCCCATGTTATACTGAGGCACAAGAGAAAGTGTCACAGCAGCTGGATATCGTCGTTGGTCGTGACAGAGGTATGCTGAAGCTCATATTAGTGAACAAATTTCAACTCTTGTATTTGCTCACTATGCTTCGGCCGATATCATTTATGTACGTTTCCACTGCTCTGTCACGATCTTCTGATTCTTATGACTGCTCGAGCAGAAAGGCATAATATTGTTTCGTGATTCGTCAGTCTCATCCAAGCATCAGTTTGCTGATTCCTTCTTGGTTCCATTCCCCAGTACTTCTCGACGCGTGCAACACCCGGCCTCCCGAGCGCAGTGGCAAAAACGGAATTGACTTCGCCTGGATCGATCGGGTCAACTCTTGAAGCCTCATAAAGATGCTACTCGATTTTCAAATGTCGTTGTCAAGTAACCTACACAGACCCCTCGACACCCAATTTATCCACATCCGCATGGGCTAGAATTCGAAATTCGAAACCTCATCGCGGAGCAGCCTCGTTGTAAACGAGACATGATGTTGAACGAGATCTCCTACATAGAAGGCAAGTACGTGCACGAGCTGTGGTAGTACATAATGCCAAGAAGTTGTGGCATATTGTCTTCCGGGTATGCATATCCGGTCCTCATGCCGCTCCTTGCGTTGCAGATGCCATCAATGATTGATGAGGGCCATAACATGATGCAGGACGCCACTGATCTTCTTCCAGCCGTCACAGTTTCCGAACCGGTCAAGGCACGGTGGTCCGATTTAGATCTGGCCATTACTTATACTTGGTCGTAAGTTCGCGCAACCACCAGGACTTGTGGACAACAGGCCATTCAATAGAGATTAGTGATCACTATCACCAGTTTATATCCAATGGCCTGCTAGGAGTGTCTCTTTGTTGGTGCGTTTATGTAATTAGGATGCTCAAACCTTGAGCTTGAGGTATGAGGCAGGAGTGGATTGAAGCATTTCTGACGTTCGACCAGCTCAGCTACCTTTATATCCGCGGAAATGTCTGAATACTTGTAGTCGTCGTGGGCTAAACGAAGTATGGCAGGCTGGACAATAGACCCCGTCACCCTCCTTGATTCCTACGCAGGCGTCTCCTAAGAAGAATTTACATGTGCGGAACCGTCTGCAGGATGGAATGCCGTGAGTGAACTCAATTTGCTACTGGGCCTTTTCTCAAGGCGACTGCAGATTTAGTGCGCACAAAGCGTTCATCTCCGCACATTGCCTTCTCGTACACCCTGTTATAATACTTAATAGCAACAAAGCAACCCTGCATTCGCCTATACTCCTTACAGAATCCCCCGCAGAACGAGAGTGGTTACATCAAGTCCAGGTGCCACAATATTTAGGCAGAAAAAATATATCGTTATGTGTCAATAACAAATGAGAAATATGGCATTGATCTAGGGGTGTCAAAGAAGCTCCCAAGTTGAAAGGTATGAAAATTGAGATGCGCGCGAGCTGCCTGGAAGATGGTGGGGGACATGGATAGGCGAAGAGAGGAGGATCCAGGAGAAGGAGGAACAATATTGTAATCAACACGTCTATGTTAAACGCAGGCCGACGATCGGCTATTCGTGCTATACTGACATCCCCCATACCACTACAATATCAATATCTCCCGAGGACATCACGTCTTAACTTATAGCGGTATGCAAATACAGAAATTCCCTTTCCATCTTAGACTTGAAAGTTTGAAGCTTGAAGAGGCCACATGATAGCTATATCCCAGATCTAGACAGTCTGACGATCCAGGAAAGTCTTGAGCATGTCGTGGAGTGCCAGAACGTATACGTAGATGGCTCAGGGCTTGGGTCAAGGCCGGGCCGGGGCACCCTTTTCGTGAGCCAACGCGCATTCGGCAGACTACATCTCCGAGCTTACTAGCACGGCCCAGCTGCATATTCTTCACTGTAGTATCCGCAGTTCTTGCAACATCTTGGACAGGAATTGAAAATGAAGAGCTTTTCAGCATTGAATATTGACTCTTGAGGCTCGAGTTGGATGACTTGGTCGATGGAGTCGGAGGCCTGCGGAATGCTTTACCAATTATTGATTAATGCTGTGCAACATGTGAAGAAGGCTGGCTTGGAAAGGGATAGATCAAATCTTCTATAGTGCGGGATATGTAACGTTCTCTGCCTTCATGGACACTAGCGCGCTGCGCTGTGCTTGCTTCAATTGCCTCCTGCCAGTGACAGCGGAAAAATGTAGTAATGGCGTTTCAGCATCTGCTCAGCACGCCCTGAACATAGACAAACCCGTGTCCTTCGGGTTCAATATGCCGAGAAGGAAGGATCAAATATGCGCGTTCTTTTTCCTGTCAGCGGAAGTCATTCACCATATCTTGCGTCAATCCATGGCTGTCCTGTCCAGCGCTGTGCGCAGTAAATATTCGCACGGTGGACGACGGCCGTATATAAGGTTGCCTTTATACTTATCCGATAGCGAAAGGTGTTTAGGTGGTCACAACAATTCACTAACTTGAGCTTGAACGGTTTCTACCATGGATTTCATCGACAAAGTCTTAGACTACGCAGAGCGACTCCCAGAGGGCATTGAAAGGACAAGAGATCAGATCATTGGTACGTTGAAATCACTCCTGAGGCCCAACCCTCATGGTCATTATCACCCCAGGAATCATCAATCCTGATAGTGAGCACGACACGCACATCATTTGGTTTTAACTGTATCTTATTTGGCTGCCCAGGACGCCACGATAAACCAGAGGAGAAACTAGACGATGAAATTCGAGCACAGATCAATGCCAGTCATCGTTTCGATAGCTTCGCAGATCAAAGATTAGACAATGCCATCAAATGGTATGTTTTCATTCAAATGGCCAATTCGGATGTTGAGATACTTTTTAGGCATATTGATGGTCATGACTATATGTATGCATTGTCTGAGATGCTCGACAGTGCAAAAGAGTGTATTTTTATATTGGTATGTATCTTCAAAACTATTGCCATTGCTAGAGACCGATGCGCTGTCACAGGACTGGTGGCTCACACCCGAGTTATACCTGCGGTTAGTATTTTATTGACGGTTGTTGCGCCTACATAGCTGAAGGTATTTCGTGCCCAGACGACCACCCGCAGATCATCCGGACTGGAGACTCGACCGATTGCTTCAACGTAAGGCTCGACAAGGAGTAAGAATATATGTTGTCGTCTATAAAGAGGTACCGTTTTATTGAGGGTCATTCAATCCTTATTAAGCGCTTGCGCACAATTCAGGTCACTCAAACCATGTCCATGAACTCGAAGCACACAAAGGTCTGCATGTCTCTTTTCGCGTTAGGATATAATTCTAAGTCATGCAGGCCGCGCTAGAGGCCTTACATCCCAATATCGCTTGTATGCGACACCCTGATCACATTGGAAGTAAAGGTGAGAACAAATTATGATCGACAACGCACATGCATAACCTTGAGTCGTAGATACCGTAGAATTCTGGTCTCACCACGAGAAGGTATGCACATTACCTTCAGTTTACTGTGATCCCCAGACTTATTTTTAACAGCTTGTGGTTGTCGACAACCACCGTGGATGTGTTGGAGGACTTGACATTTGCTTTGGTCGTTGGGATACACACAACCACCCTCTTGCAGATGTACACCCGACAGATTGGTCACGCACTCTCTTTCCTGGACAGGATTATAACAACGCGCGTGTCCTTGACTTTCAGAATGTTGACAATTATGTTAGCAATGCTGTCTCGATCATGGAAACACCCAGAATGCCATGGCATGATGTAAGTTTCAAGTCGTTTTCAGCTCCTATACCACATTGTGTGACCCTTGCTCAATATATTAGGTTCATATGACGATATGTGGTTCTGTTTGTCTAGATCTTTCTCAGCATTTCATTGAGAGATGGAACGAGGTGAAACGTAGGAAGGTACGTGGTCAAGGACCGTCTGATAGACGCTTTAAGTCTGACGTCAATATCACATTCTAAAAGTACCGTAATGACGAGTAAGTCCAATAATCTCAAACGAAATGTTTAATCTTACCACTCACTTTACAGCCGATTTGACTGGCTTGCACTTCCTCATAACGTGGCGATTTCTCCAAATGAAGCTGTCGTCCGTACGTAGATGGTTGCTAGTAACCCTATTTGATACTAATCATTCACAGGCCATCCCCATCGTGAGAAATGGCATCAGATGGGTCGTCGTTTCAGACAACGCTTCCATCTCGAAGAAGATGACAAAGTCGAACCGCCTTATACTCCTCCCCCGCACGGAGTTTGCCGCGTGCAGGCTGTGCGGAGTGTCTGCGACTGGAGCCACGGTGTGCTTACCGAACACAGCATTCAAAATGCTTGTACGTTTTTCCCATGCACAAGCCGCATGCTTTCTCTGAAACTTCGGTACAGACATTCAATTGATCAACGAGGCTAATCATTTCATCTATATTGGTGAGTTCTGATGCCTACTGGTTTATCCCAATGAAATATTTACGTTTGTGATTGATCTAAAGAAAACCAATTCTTGTGAGTACCGAAGCAATGCGCATGACCCTGTGATCTGATCCCTTTTGCTATATTTAGCATCTCTAACACGCGCGAAGAAGGCCCTGTGAAGAACCAAATAGCAAAGGCACTTGTCGAGCGGATCATTAAAGCAGCCAAGGATGATCGAAAGTTCAAGGTCTGTGATGTCCTTTTTTGCTATTCGCCTGACCATTGAGGGATGGGGCTAGGTGATCGTGGTTATACCCGAGCTCCCTGGATTCGCCGGAGATGTCAAGAATGATAGTGCTCTGAAGATTATCATGGCCGCACAGTACCGTACGATGAATCGTGGCGGTCATAGTATATATGAAGAGATCCGAAAAGCTGGTTTTGAGCCGTAAGTTATGGTCGTTGCGACGGTTATTTTTTTGTTAATAATCGTTTTATCGGGTATTAGGATGGACTACATTCGTTTCTACCACTTACGTTCCTATGACAGGATCAATGCTCCGCAGAGTAAGATACCTCTTTTATGACACTGCAGGTCTATTCTCAACGTGGCCTAACAGAAACGTTGATATCCCAAATGGAGGAAAACTCGGGGGTTTCATTCTACGAAGCTCAGGTCGCTCTTGCGCGTCAATGGGAAGGTCCGCGCACCACTGCGGGCGACGCTCCGAAGGAAATGTTTATCAAAGTACCTCAGCCTGCGCAGGAAGGCATGGTTTTGAGCGAGACCAAGATGAAGCCGGAGAAGGTGTCTCTGCCAGTCTCGTACGATGACGCGGTGAACATTGTCAGGACGTTCGAGAAAGGTTCAGATGATATCCGAGGCGACGAAGATGTATCCGATACCGTATCGCAGCACAGACTGCTGGACCGAACACGCTTGAGCGATGAGATTTGGTATGGTTCTGAGGCAGAGGAACGGGATGCGTATGTCTAGTGTTGCATGTCACTGGTGCATATAGCTAATTTCATCGAAAAGATACGTATCGGAGCTTCTCTATATTCACTCGAAGGTTATGATCGTGGACGATAGACGCGTCATCGCAAGTACTTCCAGATTGGCCTGTATTTTTTTATTGATGATCGGGGCTAGATGGGTTCTGCGAATTTGAATGACAGAAGTCAAAAGGTAAGTCGACTACTACTGAGCAGATAATCTGACAACCCTCGACTTCTAGGGAGATGGCGATTCTGAAATCGCGCTTGTTGTCGAAGACGGTGACATGGTACGCTCGACGATGGACGGACATCCATACATGGCCGCACGCTTTGCTACTACTCTGCGTCGCAAGCTCTTCCGAGGTGAGAATCACACGAGACCTCTTCGAATGCTAGTTAACTCATACACACACACAGAGCACCTTGGCCTTATCGAGCCTCAGAATGTCTTGCATTCTACTGAGAAGGTCACCTCGTTCATGCGATGCGCACCAGAGCCCAACGACAACGAGATCGGGATGCGGGAAGACACTGCCGTAGCGGATCCACTTGCAGACAGTACCCTGGAATTATGGAATCATACAGCAAGAGTAAATCGCGAGATTTTCACGGAGGTCTTCCGCCCTGTGCCCACCAACCTTGTTCGTTCCTGGTCTGCGTACGAGGCAAGTAATGATGCCTATGAGTTTCATCAGAACATGTCTGACGGTTACTATGCAGAGCTATTTGCCAAAGGTTAAGACTGGTCACGTTGTACCAGGAATACAGCTGCAACGTATCAAGGAACGCCTTTCTCAGGTCAGGGGTTCATTGGTCGAGTGCCCTCTGGTGGGTCCCAGATGTTTATGGGAGATTGGCGCTGACATGTCACCCCAGGATTTCTTGATCGATGACAAGGAGTTTGTTGAGGGTGTGGACTGGCTAGGATTGAATCCGACGCTTCCGATTTACATATGATCAAAGTGTCATCATAGGACTTGTATACTATTATCTATGATTATGTATGATTGTGAAGTTCTGAGTTCTGGACTATTCAAGCATACCATTTCAAACATCAAAACCGCGGCGAAGTGCATGGATGAACGCATGCGCTGGTCAGGAGGACATGGGAGAACACGAGGCTTTAATTTCAATGAATCGTGGGCAAGATTAATGCCCGAATCGCTTGAAGAGTTCAAGCTCCACTTGTGAAGAAGACTAAAGCAGGATATTATTCAAAATAAGGGTTGCTGTGGCAGAATTCGCCGTAGAACGGGGATAATAATAAGATCACAACAACTTGAATAGTCTCAGAAGCGCTTCCGACCCCACTGTGTTTCCCTTCCTCATTGACCCTTACTTTCGCCGTTACTGCTCGTCGTATTCAACGATGAGTACAATGTCTGACTCTCAGCGGCAGAGTCTTTCACATCCATTTCTTTCTCATCTCATCGCTCTCCTGTCGGCTTATGAACTATGTCCCATGTCAACACCATCTCCGCAATATAATGGGCCCGCAGATTGGCAAACAGACACTATCCTCCGCTCTCTAGGGGCGGTTGCACGTAGAATGTACACTGCGGAGGAGACTCTGGCTTCAATCAAAGCTTCGGAGTGTTGGCAGACAAATGGGCCAGAGACAAAGAAAAGACGCAGTGTAGGCGACACTCCCATGTCCTCATCTTCATCTTCTCAGAAAGAGACCAACCCATCTTCTTCCCTCATGCAGTCCAGCACCAATATCAATACTTTTGCCACATCTTCCAGTTCACCAGGATCAACTTCTTGTTTTCAGAACAACTCCTCAAACCTCACACCTACTATAGAATCGGTTGATGTCGACATGCAGGACGCCGATAGCACGAATGGTGTAGCCAATATCGATCGCACACCAGTCAACAAACCACACTCCGCTCGTGCAGGTTCGATGTCCTTATCATTCGACGGACTTCCAAGTCATATTGATGCCGCGACACTCCTTCGGTCATTCTCAAGCGGAAGCTCAAGCTCGGCACCTCCCACATCGCACATCGAACACATGGCTTGCCCAACATGCGGCAAGGCTATTACCGACACTTTGATGATAAGCCGAATTAATAGCAGCAGCTTTGATGGCTCCCCCGGCGGATCTCCTCTCGTCATCCCTCCTGGTCCTCTTGCTGCTGCGGCATTCGAAAGCGGCATGAGCGCCGTCGAAGAACTAAGGTTACTCAAGGCTCAGGTTCAAGATGTCGCTCGTGTGTGCAATGCCGTGGCCAGGGGTGACTTGTCCCAGAAAATTACGGTTCCTGTGCAGGGTGTGGTCATGGTTCAATTGAAGGACGTCATAAACACTATGGTATTCGTCCAGAATCTTATCGTAAAATCTTACTCATGCATATCATCGTCAGGTCGACAAATTGGGACAGTTTGCCAAAGAAGTCACTCGTGTCAGTCAAGAAGTCGGTACAGAAGGGTAAAGTGACCGCTAACCCAGATCTTATACGATTTGCTCAGTCTTCCGTAGTAAACTCGGTGGACAAGCTCTCGTGTTGGATGTCGAAGGTACTTGGCGGGAATTGACTGGCGTCGTCAATAAATTAGCTGCCAATTTGACCAGTCAAGTCCGAAGCATCGCCAAGGTCACTAAAGCTGTCGCCCAGGGGGATTTGTCGAAACAGATTGATGTCGATGCTCGTGGCGAAATCCTCGATTTGAAGAATACCGTAAACGGAATGGTCATCCAGCTCCGTGCATTAGCCGCCGAAGTCACCCGGGTCACGTTAGAAGTCGGCTCTCAAGGCAAGTTGGGCGGTCAAGCGCACGTACCAGATGTTCAAGGTGTTTGGTTCGAGTTGGTTCGCAATGTATGCCCCTTGCTGTATCTTATCGGCAGTGGCCTAATCTGCCTCTTAAGGTTAATCGGATGTGTTCAAGCTTGACGGACCAAGTGCGGTCTATTGCCAATGTTACAACAGCTGTTGCTAGGGGTGACTTGACACAGAAGATTGAGATCCAGGTCGAAGGCGAGATGTCAACATTGAAGGGCACTGTCAACTCCATGGTGGACCAGCTAAGCGCCTTCGCATCCGAAGTTACTCGTGTCGCGCTTGAAGTCGGTACGCAAGGTATATTGGGTGGTCAGGCTCGCGTAGAAGGTGTGCAAGGTACCTGGGCTGACTTGACACGCAATGTGAACGTGAGTTATATAAACAGTGTTCTTGTCTCGTGGATGTCGCTGATATGATGTGGCACAGAAAATGGCTAGCAATTTGACTGACCAAGTACGATCGATCTCGGAGGTCACAAAAGCTGTCGCCTTGGGCGATCTAAGCAAAGTCGTCAACGTCGATGTGCAGGGAGAAATGCTAGATTTGAAGATGACTGTCAATTCTATGGTTGCCCAATTGTCTACGCTCGCCAATGAAGTCACTCGTGTGTCTTTGGAAGTAGGTACGGAAGGTATCTTGGGTGGGCAAGCGTATGTTCCCGACGTGCAGGGCATGTGGAAGGTAGGATGTATCGATGCGAAATGACATTAATTCTGACGTTCACCACAGGTTCTTACAGATAACGTCAACCTCATGGCCATGAATTTGACCAATCAGGTGCGGTCGATTGCAGAAGTGACAAAGGCTGTTGCTGGTGGCGACTTGACGAAGAAGATTGAGGTCGACGTGCGTGGCGAGATCAAGGAATTGAAGGAAACTGTCAACGGCATGACCGAGAGCTTGAGTCTCTTCGCCGATGAAGTCACTCGTGTCGCAAGAGAAGTCGGCACGGAAGGACGATTGGGAGGTCAGGCTCGCGTCACTAACGTCGGTGGTACATGGAAGGTGAGTACGTTGCACAGGCTTGTGAATCAATACTTATCTCAAGTAGGACTTGACGGACAACGTGAACGTCATGGCTGCTAACGTAGGTCCGTTCCATCTTTGACGCCCCTAACGCTGATTGTTCGGCGTTGTAGTTGACCTTGCAAGTCCGAACCATTGCTGTTGCAACCGTGAGTGTTGCTTACCCTGACCCAGTCCTTATGTTGAGTTTGTCATCAGACTGCTGTCGCACGCGGAGACTTGACTCAACAAATTACTGGTGTCTCTGTGTCCGGAGAGATGCTAAGCCTAGTCAACACTATCAACGACATGATTGCTCAATTGGCAATCTTCGCCAAGGAAGTCAAGAAGGTCGCATTCGAAGTCGGTACAGAGGGTAAATTAGGTGTCCAGGCTGAGGTGGGCAACGTCCAGGGTATCTGGCAAGAAATCACGTAAGTAAGGAACATGATCCGTGGAAATGGGTGTTGACATCGCTGTAGGATGTCCGTCAACACTATGGCCGGTAACCTGACCACGCAAGTGCGTGGTTTTGCCCAGATCTCGGCAGCTGCTATGGACGGAGATTTCACTCGCTTCATCACTGTTGAGGCTAGCGGAGAGATGGACTCTTTGAAAACACAGATCAATCAAATGGTATTCAATCTACGTGACAGTATCCAGAAAAATACCGCTGCGAGGGAGGCAGCTGAGCTGGCGAACAGAAGTAAATCTGAATTCCTCGCGAATATGTCGCACGAAATTAGGTAATGTTGTTCTTACTTCTCATCTCGACATTCTGTGCTCAATGTCTCATAGGACGCCCATGAACGGAATTATTGGCATGACGGAGCTTACTCTTGACTCTGATTTGAACCGATCGCAACGAGAGAGTCTGCTCTTAGTGCACTCGTTGGCTCGCTCGCTACTTCTCATTATCGATGATATATTGGATATCTCGAAGAGTGAGAGTTTTTTCCCGATGTCAATGCATTAATCTGATTACATATTCTACAGTCGAGGCTGGTCGAATGACCATGGAAGCTGTCTCATACTCCCTCCGTCAAACAGTTTTCGGCATACTCAAAACCCTTGTCGTCCGCGCCTCTCAAAACAACCTCGATCTTACATATGATGTCGACCCGGACATTCCTGATCAACTCATCGGTGACTCGCTACGACTTCGTCAAGTCATTACGAACTTGGTGGGTAACGCTATCAAGTTCACACCGTCTAAGGTCTCCCGCAAAGGCCACGTTGCACTTAGCACAAGGTTACTGGCGCTGGATGACTCGAGTGTGACACTAGAGTTCTGCGTCACCGATACGGGGATCGGCATTGCCAAAGATAAATTAAATCTCATTTTCGACACGTTCTGTCAGGCAGATGGTTCGACAACGAGAGTGAGTCTATGTCTCAATTTGTCGCAAGTAGCTGATCATCCCATAGGAGTATGGGGGAACCGGTCTAGGCCTCTCCATCTCCAAGCGCCTCGTTAACCTCATGCAAGGCAACATGTGGGTCGAGAGCGAGGTCTCGAAGGGAAGCAAGTTCTTCTTCACGATCACATCGCAGATTTCCCAAAGTACGCTGGAGACCACACTGCAAAAGATGCAACCATTCCACAGGCGTGCTATTTTGTTTGTTGACACCCTCAACGACACCACTGGAGTTGTCCAAAGGATCCAGGAGCTCGGGCTGAGGCCATATGTTATTCATGATGTCAGTGAAGTGGCTGATAAAGAACGCTGTCCGCATATCGACACTATCGTCGTGGACTCGTTGAGCATGGTACGTTATTTAAGTCCCATATAAGCTCATGCTTACCTCATGTCTTCATCATAGACCGAGAGTATCAGGGAATATGAGCATCTTCGCTATATTCCCATTGTATTATTAGCGCCTTCGATGCCACGTCTGAATCGTGAGTATGCGAGGATGTGCTCTGGTGATATGGGGTTGACAGTAGTAGTTAAATGGTGCTTGGACAACAGCATCAGCTCGCAGGTTACGACTCCAGTCACAGCTCAAGATCTTGCCTCCGCGCTTATTTCCGCTCTGGAATCGAATACTGTCTCACCTGTCTCGGCACCAAATGATGTTGTCTTTGACATCCTGCTTGCCGAGGATAATATGGTTAACCAGAAACTAGCAGTCAAGATTCTGGAGAAGTATGGCCACACAGTCGAGATCGCAGAGAATGGAAGTCTAGCTGTCGAAGCTTTCAAAGCACGGGTGCAAGTGAGCAAGCCATTTGACATTATCTTGGTGAGTCATTTTTACTCGATAACTCACCCACAATAATGATATCTCCCCAAGATGGATGTATCGATGCCTTTCATGGGAGGAATGGAGGCCACTGAGCTCATCCGAGCGTATGAGATGCATAAAGGACTCCTACGGATTCCTATCATCGCCCTCACTGCTCACGCTAGTACGTTAAAATCTCGAGGCTTAGGGATGGGGTACTTGCTGATTTTCTTTTTCAGTGATTGGTGATCGCGAGCGATGCCTGCAGGCAGGTATGGACGACCACATCACCAGTATGTACCTCATTTACCCATGCCTCCAAGTCTCACGGATACTTGTTTTGCAGAGCCTCTTCGTCGCGGAGATCTATTGAATTCGATCAACAAGCTTGCAGGGGAGCGCGCACAATTAGCCACGCAGCATCACCTCCTCCACAGACCACCTGCCCTCATGGCACCATGACTGATGTTTTTTTGTGTCATTTCATTGTTTCAGGTTTTGTATACCCTTGTATGATGTGGATTCCAGTCGATGCTTCTACTGACGTTTACGGCTTTCCAACGCTACCCCTGTCAGATTAATCTGTACGATAGCATGTTCGTGGCACTCAGAATCATTGTGTAATCTCATGTATTTGGATTGGTTCATTATATATGCAATTGTCTTACTCCCAATCTGTCTGTTTAGGTTTGATTCTTATTATTTGTGCCTTGTCGACCGAAACCTTGTAAAGGTACCGATACCCACTTTAGCCAAGAATGACGCAACAAACAAATGTATTTAAACTTTGACCAGTCTCCTAGTAGGAGACTAAAGTAAAGGTCTGCTTTCAACTTTCAACTTTTAATGTGTAACGACGAAAGCATTCGGCAAGACTAGCATGAAGTTGCTTCATCTGATACACACATTAATCCCCTTCTCTCGCCATCGTTCCACTGTTGCAGACAACTTGACGCCAACAGAAGTTACAGAACCTGCAGCCTATATCTATCGGCTGCCAGTGGAACTTCTACAACGAGTCTTCCTGTTCATAGTTAACGACACGTTAGGCTGTCCCATTATCGACAACACATCAAAATATATCACCATTTCGCTCGATGTTACTAGCCCTCCCCTAGTAGTACTTGCCAGGGTGTGCCATTTTTGGCGAGTCGTTGCATATTCAACGCCAGGAGTCTGGTCACGCATTCAGATCGTGCTCCCTGAAAAAGCTAAACCGTTGAAACCATTTCTTCCATATTTCATTCAGTGTTGGCGTTGAGAACCTTGGAGTGCCATCATTCAATTATCAGGAGATTCAATGCACCAAAGCTTTCCCGCTTATACATCGATGGTACTTTTCTCGGACCGTTCCAGTCGGACAGCCCACCCTTACCGGTCTCCGCGCCCCCATTACTTGCAAAGATCTACGTCACATCCATATTCTGGCCGCTTCCGCGGTTGCTATCTGCTCCACTATAGCCAGTTTCCCTAATCTGGAGACCATCATGGTTGATGAACTTAAATCCTGCGGTTATGTTCCTACCCCTCTAAATGATTTGGTGATGCTCAAATCGATGACCATCCCCCTCTGCTCCGTCTTCCCAGATGACCACCGGCAAGAGCTTATCAAAATATTCGCCGTACTTCATCTTCCCATGTTGCGGAAATTGACTCTGTTGGGGTCGTCGGAGAAACTACAAGTTGATTGGCTTTTGGCGATGCTAGGAGTTGCATCTTTCCAGGTGCCGGTGGTAGAATTTAACATACCGCCGGACATGGTTCCGTCTGCAACACCGCTGAACAACACCTGATGTGGAAAATATTGTACCGTTACTTTCATTTGTGGGAGAGGTTATTTTATGTGGGTAAGTGCTCTGCCATCTCGCCTCACGCACTTCACCATGTGAACTATACAGTATCGGAATTAGCTACGACAGGGAAAACCAAAGGCGCATTTATCGACGTAATATATGAAGTAATAAATCCTGTCGTGTCGGATGCGAATATGTGGACCACAGATTATACGCCTACGTCTCGAGAGGCGCCCACGGGAGGGGAGACAACTCATCTAATCACGATTCTTTGTTGACTTATAGAACTATGTATTTTAAAACTTTCAAGTTCGAGGCAGTGTACAAGGGGTATTTGAGCTATATATCACGTATCTGCCAGACCATGACATAACCAGGGAAATAAACAGGTACGCATTGCAAACCTTGTATTCAATTTGTCTTAGCATCGGACGATCCTCTTCGAGGCTAATTCTTCCTGTTTCAGCGATACCAACGAGCAACCGTGCCATAGCGGCGAATAATTTTACTAGTTAAATTGTTCGATAACAGTAGGTGTACTTATGCAGTGTTAAGAAAGGAGAGTGTGGTTATACTGATCATCTGTCAAGGAAAGGTTCGCCCTAAGGTTGGCACTCATGTTCAGAGTATGATGATACCGCAAGCAATGGAAACGACCAGGCCAAGTGCCCCAATAGCCTTCATGCTCATAGCATCACCAGTTTTGGTAACGAAGGGGCTGCTGCCACTACTACTACTACTACCAGTAGCAGTAGAGCTCTTCGCAGCAGATGTCGAAGTAGAAGTCTGTCCACTGGCAAGCTGTAAATATGAAACACCGTCAGGGCACCATAAAATTGAACCCGTGAAACCATCAACGAACGGTAAGAGATCCACCGCAAGCTTCGTTCCAGCCGTCGATGGCGGAATCAGCATCCGTCGAGGCAGATGGTTCAGCCGTAACAAGGCAATCCATGCATGTTTGAAGCTGGGTTCCAATGGACGACCCGCAAATGCAAGATAGACTGTTGTCGCAGTCCTGGGGTACGTCTAAGTGATGTCAAAAGCTTGAGTTATCTGGCGTACTCACACTTATCGTATTGATGACTTGGCACGTGCTTTGGCATTGAGAAGGGAGGTCGCTCGTATTTACCTGACGGACAGCGAGGGCATTGGAATAAACGTTGCGCGCGACAGGAGGGGCTGGATGCGAAAGAGACGTGTTAGTTGACTAATAGATATCAGCCTAAGTTGATCGAAATTTACCTTGCGCGACAGCGACAAGAACCTGCAAGAGGAGGGGGGCAATTTGGACCATTGGTATCAAGTCGTGGTACTGGCAGCTTCGTGCAGAGCTAAGAAAAAAGGATGGTCTAGGAACAACAAGGCAACTAGAACGTGAGGTGTCTTTTAGCAAATTTTGGGAGCTGAGATGAACCAATTTCGACGTTCCCGTCTATGATCAGACAGCGGTATCCAGGACAAGTGCGAGAGGCTAGAGGGTTGAGTCGCGTCACGACCGATGACTCGACGCACTCTGCACTGCCAACTTGACAAAATTTTTACAATTGATCAGTGATTGATTGGCCCTGGTGTAAATTTGCGTTGCCGTGTGCCTTAGAGCTCTTGTTCAACTTGAAGCTTGAAGCTTCAAAGGCTTCTATGTCCAGCTATAGCGGAAGCCTAGTTGTGGCAGTGCAAGACTCAAAGGGTGAATTTGGCATCGTCATCGGCTCGGCACTCATCGGATTGTGGTTGGTCATGCATATGGCCAGTCGATGCCAGTTGGACAGTATAAATCATACGAAGCGGTGGCAATGATTGACAAGGAGACTCAGGACCAGGTACAACCATTTAGTACTGTCGGCTAACGCCGTGTGAGGTGGATGCTGACTCTCGGCGGGCGCCCGTTCCCGTCGATCGCCCCGTTCTTCGTAACGTTTGTCTTGACAATATCATGGTATACCGTGACTATACCCAGCTGCAGGGTGATTTTGATATTTTATGGCGAACCGTGGTTTGATCAGAGTGTATGCTCTTGAGTTGTATTGATCATCGGCAACCGGAAAGCGTTTCCACGACAAACGTTTTAACCCTCTCCCACTACTGAATAGTAGGCCTTGTAGAGGACAGTCTCACGCTCCCACTATGCGAACGCCCGACACCAAGTTGCTTCAAGTTTTAGCAAACAATCATTGTACACCGAAATTTTGATACCATGAAACTGATGCCAGTGACCGGTGATCACGTTAGGAACTGGACCGACCTGGACCATGCGGAGCCGGAGCATCGTGAGTATAAGTCAGATGAACCTCCAGGTTGCGAAGGATGGCGCACTCGACCAAAGAGCTAATTCTTATCCAAAGCACACGCGGAGGGCTATAATAGGTCTTCCAATAATATTCCGCATTCGTCAGCATTCTCGTTATCATGGTCGGTGTGCGACCTGTGTCTGATGCTCCCAATCACCCATGTCTGCCGGGATTAACGTTACCGAGGAGCAGCCTTTGCTGTCCAACTCCAAGCAGTCAAGTTATCATGATAACCCCCCAGACAGCTCAAGTCGCACTCAGGACGAAGAGGCACTTCCCTTGACAAACGAAACGAGTGACTCTTTGAAAGAGCCATGGACCGGGAAGCGAATAACTGTCTATGGTGTTCTGACATTGTTAGGAGTGTTTATATTGGCCACATTCATCAAAGGCTTCATTGACGCTGATGATGTGAATGTAAGTCGTGGTCTGCTTGTATATCTATTTTCTTTCTCATGTTCGTCGTTGTTAGTTCGACTTTGGAAAAGCGTTCAAGAGTGCGCTAGGGGGAGGGTTAAGTGGTGCTGCAGGTAAGTAAATTCATTCATTGGAACATCTATGTCACAATTTTGATGTCATGGCAGCCATGGTGTTGCAGGTTTTGGCGCTCATGGTATGATGCTTATACCGAATATCTCCGATTTCCGCTGAAAATCATGTAGCCTCTGCGCACCATCATGAATTACCAATACAGATACGGCACAACAACGACGCAGGCTACCAAGATTTTATACGCTGATGGCGGTTGGACACGTTATTACCAAGGCCTCACTGCAGCTCTGGTTCAAGGGCCAGTATCCCGTTTTGGCGACACCGCTGCCAATGTAGGCATTCTCGCCCTCCTTCAAAGTAATTCATACATGAAGACCTTGCCTACGCTTGTAAAAACATTGTTCGCAAGTGTTGCTGCGGCTTGTTTCCGCATGACATTGACCCCGGTTGACACGATCAAGACGACTATGCAGACGCAGGGTAAGGAAGGCATCGCACTACTGAGGGCCAGGGTATATCTTCACATATATCGTATCTGCTTGTTCTGATGTTCTCTTAGGTTAAGAAGTACGGCATTGGCAGCTTGTGGTATGGTGCTCTCGCGACCGCCGCTGCCACATTCGTCGGTCACTACCCAGTAAGCACTTTAATCTGGGACATGCATTCTTTACTCATTCTTTACCCAGTGGTTCGGGACGTACAACTATCTCAACGCAGTCCTCCCACTTCCAGTGACTATACTGCAGAAACTCCTCCGTTCTGCTGTAATTGGCTTTGCAGCTTCCGTCGCCTCTGACACCATCTCTAACTCTCTTCGCGTGCTAAAGACCTACCGACAAGTCAATGCTACCCCAATTGGATATGCCGATGCTGCCCGCGCCGTCATCGCAGCAGACGGCCTCAAGGGTCTGTTCGGGCGAGGACTTAAAACCCGTATCTTGGCCAACGGCCTCCAAGGAATCATGTTTTCAGTGCTGTGGAAGTTATTCTTGGATATGTGAGTTATTCGTGCGCATGTCTTCATGATCTAGTCCTGAGTATTCTCATCATGTCCAGGTGGAATGACAAGACAAATTAAACAAGTTCGGGTGTAATGCATATGAGGAAGGGATTGTACATCACTGTTACCCCGAATACCAGGTCACTCCGTTACCTTCTCGTCGTTCTTGATCTTGCCAAGAGTTTGATCCTATGATATCTTGATACATAGAACATAGCATACTCTTGGATTTCAAAGGAATGTATGATATTTGGCGTTTATCTTGCACAAGAGACAGTTTGACTCGTTCGGAACTGATCGATGATCATGCACATGGACCATCAACGTGTTTGTTTGAACAGATCCACGGTGCGACGAGTAAACCAATAATCCTTTTATTAGAGTGCTCTCACTCGTGGTATACCATCTAGTGCTGCCGCGGTCCGGTCCAGAACCACGGTTCGAACCGGACTTTTGGTCCGGTTCTCTGTGGTTCGGTCCGTGGTTCTCTCACCAGCCAGAACCGGACCGAAAATCGGTTCTCGGTTCTAGGTCATCCAGAACGGTTCGGTTTTGGTTTGGGACACCCGAACCGTTCCGAACCGCCGACTTTGCCATCATTTACTTCAATGTCGTCGTCGTCTGATCGATCGATCTTTGGGATTTGCACTACCTTCAACTTCGACCCTTCGACTTCGACCAGAATTTGTATTATCAGGCTGCCTTTAGCCTTTTTCAAGGTGAGTACTAACTAATTCAACTCTGAAGCGTCTAATCAACTGACATATGTTTAACTCATCTTCCTAGGCTGCTATGATCCTCCACAGGCTTTTTGCTGTGACTGATCTCCTAGGAGACCAGTATTCTGTGGTGCACAGATGTGTTCTCCCTGCCCTGTGTACAAAACAAGGTCATGACGATGAAACTGTGAGTTGTCTCCCTGAAAATGTCAGACTCCTGTGCTCTCAATGCTAATGGCACCCTCAAGGACACGTCCGAGATCATGTTCTACAATGATCCTGAAGACGATGTGCCCCTGCCACTAGTCCCATCAAATGGCCCTGACGACAATGTGCCCTCAACGGAACCCAAGAAAATGCCTTCTCAGTTCTACTCAAGACCGGACATATGCCAGCAACCGTCACTGCAGGCTCTTGGCGCTCTGGCCACCCTTCAAAGCCCTCAGCTTGCATCCGTGATGCTGACAATGTTGCTTCATCCTCAGGCACAAGGAAGCGTGCACACACATCATCTAGTGCTACAGAGCACCCAGCATCTAAAAAAGTCGCTATGCGATCATATCACCTTTGGACTCTGATGATGAAGATACGGCTGATGAAGATCTCCCTTCGGCTGCTCCTGATCCAGGAGAATCATCATCTGATGAGCTGATCCCCCAGCTTGATGATGATGATGACGAGGCTGAGTCAAACTGCGAGTCAAACTGTATGTCATATCTTCATCATTGTCTTCCTTCACTGACACTTGCATTTAGGTCTCAAAAAGCGATCATACAGCAGACATCTGGACTATATTCACTCATATCCCTGAGGGATGGGTCTGTATGCTGTGCAAGTAAGTTTTCATTTGTTTTTAATTTAAATTCAATTTTGATTTTGGATAAGGGACACTGGTGAACCAGCACACAAGCATATGTTTCACGGAGGCACCTCAACACTATGAATGCATGTTGTTTGCCACAGATGCACCCATTTTCAAGTGTACAAGGCGTGTTGCGATGCTGCGGGCATCACCATGCATTCTCGTGCAATCCCACCTGGCAAAGACCTCACTGCAATGCAACAAATTCTTGATCACAATCTTGTTTCAAAACCTGCTGTATTCACAAAGGATGGGTTATTGGAGTACATAATGGAGCTTATCGTGACAGAAGATGAGGTGCGTTTTTTAATTTTGTTATTTGCATTGCTGTTTAATGACATTATGGCAGGCAATCCAGTTGATAAACTGGCTTTCTGACATTTGCTGTTGTACACCCATTCAACTCTATCCAAGAAAGATATCCCGCACTGCACCAAACTCACTGATACCATCAAGTCTCGCACAAATACTATCATCAAAAAGATCAAGGAGTGCCTTGCTGTAAGTTTATTCTATTCACATTATTAACTGTTGTTGATGCAGTTTTGGTAGCATGTCGACAGTGTGGTGTCCATGACGTTCAACTCATGGACATCTATCATTTGGGATCCTTTCTTTTCCATCACTGGCCATTACATCTGGAACCCCCCTGATAAGCCGCAAGAGTGGGTGCTGATGTGTGAGCAGCTTGATTTCAGTCATATCAAAGGCAACCATAGCAGCCAAAATATCGCCCACATACTCGTTGAGACCATAGATAGGTATGACATTCACAAGAAGGTAAGTTTTTTAAATTCACTTATGCCATTTTATTGACCTTACTTTGCAGGTTGGCTGGATGACTTTGGATAACACCTTGAACAACGACACTGCCATGAAAGAAGTCAGACAGGTCTTGAACAAGGGCGGCAATGATTGGCTACCAGGTGCCCACTGCATTCAGTGTCAAGAGCACATCCTCAACCTTGCTGCATGACACTTCATTGATGCAGTTGCACCTACCCCTCAAGCCACCTTACTCAAGAAGATCCATCGTGCTATAGACAACGGTGATGATGCTGACATTGACAGTTTAACTCAACAGCTGGCCACATTAGAATGTGATCCCGAAGCCATTACCGAGGACAGTTTTGATGTGGCAGATGCTGTCGGCAAAGCACTTGCTCTTATTGAACAGGTGAGCTTCTTTTCTTGTTTTTGAGTTTTTTTCTAATATGAATATAATAGATTCGCAAATTGCCGCAAGCCAGAGCCTTCTTCAAAAAGTGTTGCAAGGAAGAGGGCATCCCCGTTCATGAGATCTTAGCTTGGGTGTGAACACGCTGGGCATCTTTATATAAGTGCCTTGAACACTTTCTCTCTCACCGCCTGGTGAGTTCTCTAATGTCTTTATTTATTTCAATATCTCTAATGCCTTGTTTTTTTTCAGGCCATCAACTGTTTTACTCTCCTTGCTGATGAGAGTCACAAAGTCCCGATGCTGCGCAACAAATCTTACAGCGACTTCAAACTTGATCAAGCCAACTGGAAAAAGATCCGACTGGTTCATAATGTCCTCAAGGTATTTGATTTGTTTATTCATTCTTTTATTTACTTACAGCTATCATAACTACAGGAGCCTGCGACTGTGCAACAGTCATTCTCCTTGGCGACACATCCCACAGCCTGGCTCATGATACCCATGCTTGAATGTCTTGCTGATACATGGCAGACAATGGCAAATGATCTCGCATATGCATCGATTGCTGATGCAATCCAGAGTGGCCTCAAGAATGTGGACAAATACTATGAGAAGACCAGCGACTTGGATGTGTATTTCATCTGTCTGGGTGAGTAGCGTTTTTTTTCTTGAGTGCTGTTTCTAATGTACCTACAGTTCTGGACCCTAACTTCAAGTTGGCCTATGTCGAGACCCGTTGGACTGATGAAAAGGTTGGGAGAGAGAGAGCTCGTTTTGAAGCTGTGGTAAGTCTTATTTTTTCAATGTATTCTACCAGCGGCTGATAATTATGTACATTGTAGTTTGATAAGTATCACAAGGCTCTCCTGCTGCCATCTACCACAGCACAAGCCAGTGTGCCGCCGAAAGCACCAGTACCACAAGCCATTTGGTATGGCCAGTCCTGGATCTGTGATGCTGTCATGGCACATCAAGCTGAAGAACTTCACATGCATGACCCCCATCACGAACTCACCTCATATCTTACTTCGCCATTAGAAGAGACAGATGATGTTGTCGTGTGGTGGGGGGTAAGTTGTTTTTTTATTCACACATTCTCAACTGACATTATTCATTAGCTACACTCGCTACAGTATTCAACACTCGCTCGTATTGCCCACGATTATCTACTGATTCATGGTAGTGCAGTTCCCTCTGAATGCGCATTCTCTAGGGGGGGAATCACATCAACCTTGCGCTGCAATGCACTTGGATCATCCACCTTCTCTGCTCTACAGTTAATGAAGGCTGCTTACCATAATGGACATCTTTTGGCAGCTACAGAGGCAGAGAGGTACGCGCAAATTTTATTAGACTAGTTACTCAATGTGTAGCTAGTATTTCGTCAATTATTTTTTGCTGTCCCTATAGAAAAATTTATGGTTCAGTTTGAGTTCGGACCACAAAAAAAATTGAACCGACTGTTGAGAACAGTTCTCAATGGTCCAGTTCTGGGTTTGATGATTTCGCCAAACCAAACCGTTGGTCTGGTTCTCGGTTCTTGTTGAAGACCCTCTGAACCAGACTGAATTGGACCATGGCAGCACTAATACCATCTGGGTTTTGGGTGCCTGTCACAGAAGCACACGGCAATGCACTGCCTTACTGGCTCTTACATCCTTTTAAGTCTTCGAAATTGTCACTGATTGGCAAATCATATATTTGTTCAGACTCCTACCCATCGCGTGGGGAGGTAAGTCTACATACTAGAGCAGCCACTTTATCAATAGAACCACACAATTATATAATCATTTTAAGCGACAATTTTCTAAGACTACTTCCCCACAGCAACTGGCAGAACTTGTTGTGGCGCCAATTGTTGGCCTTGTTTGTCCCCTGCCTGAAGGGCGCAAAAAACATATGCAAGTTGTACCCAACACTAAGTGAACCTCCGAGTGTGTGAAACGGTGGGATCCCATTTTGGTAAGTCAGAACTGTGTTGCATCATTCATCCTTAGCTATGTCTGCTCTATGTGATGGAGCTGCTCACATCACTACTTTTTTCATGCAGCCTAACTGCCGCTGCACACTGTAACTGTGTGAGATTGTTGACACCAAACAATGGAATCACCATTGCTGAGATTACACTGATGAATGTTGATTGATGTTCAACAGTGGGCTGAGAGGTTTTGAAGTCGATATCAAAGTTATTGTATGTGAGTGCCATTTGCAAGGTGTGTATGGATTGTTTAATGTGGATACCAGCTTTGACTGACAGTGACACTACTGCCTTTTTGATAGACGAGATGCTCACAGAAAGGCCAGCATGAGCAAGCAGGTCAATAACCTTTGCTGGAGTTCCTGTTGAATGAGCAAAGATGCTTAGGATACTTTGTAGCATATTGCATCACTTGTTTGTGCTGTGTGCGAAGATGCATGCACAAATGACTAATTTTTGTCATTCATCTCAGTTTTTTTGCCTTTAAGGTGATGTTCTGGTTTCTTACAATCAGCACCAGTTTGGCATTCTGTTTGCCAGCATTGCACCAATGCTTATGTGGCTTTTCTCTATCTTCATCAAGCTCCCCATTGTTGCCCTGGTCCATGGCAGTATCATCATCACCCCCAATGTTGCCTAAATCTTGCTCTGGCTCCTCGTCTCGTTCTTCATCAAGTTCTCAGACAAGCGCATCAAGTTCAGCATCATTCATATGTTGGCACTGTGTGGAGGTTTGCATTGAGAAGTGAAAATATGAGACAGAAGAGATTTGGTGCAGTTTTTTTATTCAGTCTTGTCAGAGACAGGCATTGAGTTGTGCAGTTAGGAGGGGAACAAATTTTTAGATTTGTCAGATCGTCATGTTTTCTATACAGTTAATACACATCATACACTGCATGTTGCAGTTGAAATATGTCTATGAGTAGCACATTTCTGACTTACCAAAATGGGATCCCGCCGTTTCACGCACTCAGAGGTTCGCTTAGCATTGGGTACAACTCACATATGTTTTTGCACCCTTCAGGTGGAGGACAAACAAGGCCAACAATTGGCACCACAACAAGTTCTGCCAGTCGCTGTGAGGAGGTAGTCTCAAAAAATTGTCACTTAAAGTGTTATATAATCATGTGGCTTTGTTTACATTGTGGCTGCTCTAGTATGTAGACTTACCTCCCCACATGATGGGTAGGAGTCTGATATTTGTTAAGCATTCCAACTTTGGGGACATCTAGATCCCAGGATATCCGACCATCCGACCCCATCTGCGCCAGCATATTAGTCATCGCTCCCACACAATCACATACATATTATATATTAGATTGAATGTTCAGATAAAATAATGTAATAAGCTCGCAAGACATCTGAGTATTAAACTGGAGCTTCTGGACTGCTCTAACCTGTCTACAAGTGCCAGTCACCAGTGCAAGTTGATTCAATGTTAAAATAAAATCATGTATTGTGTAAGCTCACTGGCTACTATATTTGGACAAACTTAGCTGCACCACTATATGGTTGCCTACTCAGCACTCAGCACTCACTTTATTATACTTGCATCAGAACTCAGTACTTGAGGAAGATATCTTACTCATGCAACCTACTACCTTAATAGTGCGCCTCTGGTTCTTTGTATCTTGGTAGGCAGGTTTGTTTGTTTGCCTGTTTGTTTGTAGTTGTAGTGGCTGTACCATACACTGAGTCATACCAGGTGCAGATGTTGGACTTGGAGTCTCAGAGGCTAGATATCCTAGGATTGAAATATTCTGCCAACTTCAACTATGTAGTATTCCTTCTTTTGTTTGTTATCTCAGACTCTATACTGTACTACATAATCCTGATGTATCATATTGTTTATACCTCTGTGGTTTATCTATAACACTGAGGTACAGTTCATATTTCTTTACTCGCTAGCTCTTACTTATGACTCTTCATCTTTAGACTCATGTCATAGGTATTATTAATACTTAGTGGTTTATCTCCAACACTGAGACCTGTGTCATAGTTTCTCAGGTAACAATATTTACTACAGATGTGCACCCAGTAGAATGTGCAATGTAAGTCTATCCAGCTAAAGTGAACAGGAGAATATTCCAAGTGGGACCCACCCTCAGAGATTCTGATTCTAGTATATCTGACTAATGACTCATATTGTCTTTAGTTGTATGTTAACATTGAGCAGGTTGGGTCATATGGCAGAATCAATAAAGCCACAGGCAATTTTTTACTCTAAGACTATCAATTCTGATGAATTCTAGCCACTTCTCCACCCTGCAGGTATTGAACCTGAGTCTAACAAACATCTACCCAAAGACTGTCTGGAAGAGTCTGAATTCACTACTTTGTTGAACAATGTCAAAAGATCCAAATTGAATGTCGAATCTCACACATGAGTCAATAAGTCATCTATCCTGATATTGTATTCCTATTGGCTTTGAATCCACTAGAGGTGTGCCATACATCAGGGAAAACCTCCTGTACAAACCTAGCTAAGTTTAGATCTAACTCCAATAGTTACCAAAAATTCTTCCTAAATATAGTGTTTAGCAAATTATTAATATGATGTTACAGTGTGTTACATATGAGATTGCAGTACATGTTTTTTAAAACTTGGCCTCACTAGAGGAACCAGCACTTTTATCCCCTAATAGATCAAGGGATGTGTAAAAGTGTCAGTTCTGCTAGTGAGGTCAAGTTTTGAAAAACATATACTGCAATCTCATATGTAACACTGTATAGATGCACATTTATTATTGTGTGTTGCATGCCCTGCATGGTCTCCATTTTGGTGACCTATTTGTCATTGCCCATTTGGTACCTATTGTGACATCTGTGCACTGCCATTTGTGTGTGTTGCCCATTTAATTGGTGACTCAGGGCTTTTGCTATGTGCTTGCTAATGGATCACTTGGGATTTTTCAGGTTGCATCTTACTACTAAAAATAGAGCTCATTGGGAAACAAGATGTGTAAGAACATCAAAACAATGTATACTATGTTTATAATGAAGAATAAAAAATCAAATTCTCTGCAAGGTGGCTACTAGCAAGCTTTGTCAATGAATTGATTAGCATGGTTGAATGCTACTCCCTCTCTGATAATCATGAACATAAGTTCCTTGCACCCTCTGCTAACACGCCCGAACTGCAAATTTTTAAAGTATTTGATGGCTTCATGATATGGTTGTGGATTTTGTCTATTGAGAAGGAAATAAGCCATGCCATTCCACCAGATAGCATGCCAGTCCTCATTATAGCCTACTGGATCTTGGCAGTCACTGGTGTGCATCAAAATTTTGGGCTCTTCTGCAGCCATGATACAACAATATTCTTCAAGAGCTGCTTGCACATAGACCAAGGTCATAAATATGTCATTGCCTAATAGTTCCTGGTATTGTACAGTCAGTTGAGTAATGGGAGTGTTGACAAGTTGTTTGAAGGTAAATGAGAAAATTATGCTTGTGTTATACTGTACAGCAAGGTTAATAAGCTGATTGGGGTGGAAGTAATAGTGGGTAGACTGAATGCAAGAAACACTGAATTTTTGAGTATGAGAACATTGCTACATATCACAGAAGTGCAGAAAATTTAACAGTTCTTTAATGGTGTATTGGCTAGTGCATATTCTACAACTGGTTTATCAGCTTGATGAAAAGCCTATAGAACAATAACTTACCTGCCAAAGGTATGTTCAAGGAATAATTCAAACATCTCCTGTGTTATACTATTGAGATGGATGGGTCTCTCATCATTTTTCCTGTCCATCTTAAGTCCAATCCAGTAGCTTCAGTGGCAGAAAACATGTCATTGAATGTTTCAGAATTTGAGAACAAGACTGAGCCACAGAGCCTATATAGCATATTATTGATCTGTTGATGTGAGGGTACCCAAACTGTGTAAATAACTTGATATAGTCATCAATGGCTCATTGAGACATTGTGGTTCATCAATACAAAACATGCCTCACAACAACAACACATTTTCTTCTCTCAAAACTGCTTGTGTGCATTTAGACAATGTGTATCTTGCTCTATGGAAAATATTATATTATGTTGACTAACAAAAATGAGACATGTGTCTTTACTACTGAAACTCTAAATTTAGATAATTTGAAATTTGTATTTCACATTGTACAACAACAGTAAATCAGAGAGACATGAAACTATTTGGGATTTATAGAACATATGTTGTAATTGCATAAAGTTGGGAATAACATGTGTAGCAAAGGAATGTTTGTCAGCTAGTGGAAATGCTATTTGGACCAAGTGAGGGTTGGAGAAGCTCTATGTGAAAGACACTGTTGCAGCCACAAACTAGTTGGAACTAGTCTCTACCTCTCACTATGCCAGGCCATGCCAAATCTGCTACAAAAAAATGGCAAGAAGTTCATCAAGCTCATGATTATCTTATGGCTAAGGCTGTGTCTACATATAGCATTGAGCTCACCAAGAAGCAGGGTTTAAAATGTCACAGCTCATGAACTATCTGTAGAGACTTTACACAAATAATATGGAAACAACTGGCAACTATATCAAATTATCTCATGCTACACTGGTCCAGCTGGAAGCTGGTGGAAGGATGAAAGCTGTGGCCAATGCTCTCAAGGGGTGGTTGACTGAATATGAAGATGGAGCATGTCCTTACATATGCAGAAGAGGTGGGCAATCAAGGTTTTCCACTTAGTCACCAATAGCTTCAAGAGCATGTTGATGGAATTTGCCATGCCTATTTTGGAGAAACCTTTCATAGAGTAGGAACACGCTGTAACACTTGAGCTGATGCTGGGCTCGTATTCAGCCATTTCATGTATCATGTCAAATGCCCATCACACAATATTCACTTTCCGATGCAACCTAATACATATCTGCCAAACCCGACACTTTGACTAGTGGACCCAATATTTTGGCCACATCAGACCCAATATTTTCCCATGAACTTGTCCTATCTGTGCCCTGTCTTGTCTTGCTAGCCCCACTAGATGTGTAGTTGATTATTTCGCACATTACCCATGTCGCAGCCAGCACTATTACATGTTTTCCCATAGTCCGCAGCACCTTCTGTTTATTTACATGTACATCAGAACCAAAATCTTCGGCTGCTACTTTCGCCTATAGGGTTCTGTATTTCTACAAACTTACTTATATATTGGTTTCCACATAGCATATTTATCATCCAAGTAGTAGGGAGCCATTTCCCAATGCTTTGTGGTCAAACCCGATAATTTGTAGTTCTTAGTTGATATTGTGAAATATTACCACTCTTTCTTTCCAAAATACCCATCATCATTGATAATCTGCATACCACTTGCTTTCCTGGTGTTCGCTATCACCATTCCCCATAACCCACTAAACCCAAAAACATCAGACCTGACACTTTGGCATCAGACATCATAATCATACCTTTGGATATTGTTTCTTGTGCTCAGATATTTGACAGTTTATCAATTGACTATCTACAGACTTATTCCAATAGCTAACCCCTTGGGTCGAACACACTTGTCTAGCAAGTATAGCAGACTAGGCTGTGCAAGACCACAACACATTTTTATATTGCTAGTTACTTACTTCATGTAGAATCCAGTGATTGTTGTTTCTCTACAACACTGAACAAACAGATTTGTTGAGAAGCACTCAGACTGTCTGAAAACATCTTGGGCAAGTTCACTTGATTCAAAATATGGCTGAGCTATCAATGCAAACACAAACACAGCATGGTTTGACTTTCTCAAAAATGTATTAAACCAATATAAAATTACAAAAGATTATATATATGGAGTTGATGAGGTTGGGATCTCTGCACAATCAGGCAAAGCTGAATGAGTCATTGGAAGTCATAAACCTGGGCCACAGTTTCAATAACTGGACTAGGAGAAAAGCAAATATAACTGTAATAGTGACCATCTGTGCTGATAGCACATTGAGTTCCACCAGCAGTTATATTTAAGAGCAATGCTTATCAAACCAAGTGAAAGCAAGATAACCCTGCAAATACATTGTGAGCAACTTTCCCACTTATTTCTTTCTTCACTCCATTATCTTTTTAGCACAGCAAATATAACCACATCTAACCCTTGATATACATGGGTTGCATGTGTAGGGTAGCATATGATGTGAATCTGATATGCTTAAGCATATTGAAGGAACCCTCAAGTGTAATGTGAATTGTGATCATCCACAATCAGAAGGTGGTTGTGTCCATTAGCCTTTTCTTTAATATATTTGTCAAACTCTTTTATCCACTTAACACTGATTTCTCCATCTGTCTACATCTTTGGTCAGTCATGAAAAGTAACTTCCTGGCAATTTATGGATAGGTACATCTTTGTGTACTCACACCAGATCTTATTTGTATGGCTTTTCGGAAGACTGGAGTTTAGCCTGTCAGCAAAGATGTCATCACCAAGAAAATGATGGCACCTCATAAAGAAACATCATGTAAATGTCATCTTCCAATCACACCTAGTGATGTCTCAGCTCCAAGCTGCATTTTTCAGAAAATGAGCATAACATGCTGAATAAAATTTCTAAATTCATGAAAATATTTATGGACATAGATTGAGCCAAAAGCCTGGAGGCATCTAAGGGGAATTCTTACTGTGATGCATCATTGTCCTGCTATGAAGCAGCTCACCAAATGGCTCAAAAGCCAACTCATTTGGTGAGCTGCTTCATAGCAAGACAATGATGCATCACAGTAAGAATTCCCCTTAGATGCCTCCCTGTTTTTGGCTCAATCTATGTCTATAAATATTTCATGAATTTAGAAATTTTATTCAGCATGTTATGCTCATTTTCTGAAAAATGCAGCTTGGAGCTGAGACATCACTAATCACACCATCTTTTCCTGTGAAAACTATTGCAAATCTCCTTCAAAAACTGTCATCAGAGCAGCACAACAACAGCAACAATAACTCAGCTATCCTACAACCTATTCCTGCAATACAATCTGAAATCTAGTTAGTCATTCAAAACTCAAAAATACATCCCTATCAGAACTCATCTCAGACATTCCACTGACTGCCTGTAACATGGTGCCATATACATCATCTCCCCAGTCAGTCAGATACAGGCACATACATACCACAATGTGTTCCAAAAGACTGCAGACAAAGTTTTGTTGCTTTCATCACTTTGTGAGGCTGAGGCAGCAAATGCTACACTCAAGTACTACATGCTGGAGCTTCAGGCAGCAAATGTCCTCAATGAGATGTATTGTAATATCCTATGAAGTCAACTTGCAAATCAGGAGGAAAAAAGCAAAAAGGAAAGGCAAAGAAAAAGCTGATGGAAGACAGCTTACCATGATTACTTTGTGACAAGTTTTATGAGAGTAATAGAGTTTGAGTGTAAGCAGAAGAAGGCTGCAGCTAATAAGCAGACAAGGAAAGCAGATTGAGAAAGGAGAGCAGAAGAATTTGCCACATGGAAATAGCTAGAGGACCAGCAGAAAAGTTAGAACAAAGTCCAATAAGCACAGTATCACAATGCTCTGACACAGTGGCAGGAAGAGAAAGCCAGGACAAAGGCTGAAGGACAAAAGTTTAGTGAAAAGAAACCTGCCCTTGTTAAACTGCAAGGTATAATTCCGAGGCCAAAGTTGAACATATGCAAAGATGAGGATGGAGAGTCAGCCAGTGGAAAAGAATTTGACCTTAATGATGTGTCAGATAACAGTGGTGAAGAATGATAACAATGTTAATATTTGATAGTGATAATGTACTTTCTTATGAGTCAGGGTGTGGGAATCTGACTATGCTATAGGGAGGTATCAGAAAGGTCCACCTCCCAGCTATATTTATGTTCCCTATAGCGTGGGAGGCCGACACTACTGTGTGAAGATATGGACATTTTAATTTGATGACTCATTGAGACACTTTTTTGACTTTAAGTTTGACTAATACAATCTTTATAATTCTAGTACTTTGTGTTACCTCCCTTGGCTTTAATCACTGCTGCTATTCTTCTGGGCATACTTTCTATCAATCTCTGACATTTCTCTTTGGTAATTCTTTTCCACTCTACCACAACTCTCTCCCATAGTTCAAATAGCCCCTTTGGAGAATCTTCATAGGCAGCAAGTAGTCTTTTGAGTAATTCCCAGAGATGTTCAATAGGATTGAGGTCTGGAGACTGTGCTGGCCATGATAGAACATTGATATCATGGTCTTCAAACCATTTGGTGGCCAGTTTTGAGGTATGCTTGGGATCATTGTCTTGCTGGAAAATGATGTCTTCTTCATCAACACCTGACTCCTACATGCTTCTGAGCAGACACTCCTCTAGAATGGAGACATACTGCTCTGCATTCATCCTCCCCTCCACCTCACACAAAATCCCCACTCCATTCCATCTCATACAGCCCCATACCATCAAGTTTCCCCCTCCAAACTTTAGTGTGCCTTTCACCTCTCTTTCTCCTAGTGGTTCTCCTGCCTTTTTCCATACATATTCCTGACCATCTGACCCTAGTCTATTGATTTTGGTCTTATCTGACCAAATAACCCTCTTCCAGTCCTCAATAGTCCAGTGTTGGTGCTTTAGAGCAAAGGCTAGTCTCTTCTTCCTATGAGCTGGTGAAAGAAGTGGTTTCTTCTTCTTGGTTACAGCTTTCAGGTTAGCTGCCTTGAGAGTATTTCTTACTGTTTGGGTAGAGATAGTGGAGGGGATGATGGAATTAATGAGTTTGGTGGCTTAAACAGCATTTGAAGCTTCTCCAGATAGAATAGAATGGACAATAGCTCTTTTGTCATGAGGGGTGAGCTTAGAGGGACGTCCCATATTGATATTTTCTTTATTTGGAATAGACTTCTTGATGACTCTAGCAATAGTAGCCCTGCTAAGACCAGTTTTGGAAGCAATCTGTCTAGTAGGATAGACCAGAGGAGGTAAGAACAAGGATATTATCCTTTTGAGCAGGAGAGATAGACTTCATGAGAATTATGAAGGATTTCATGGTTTAGCTTGTACTTATATAAATGTCAGATATTAAAATCAGACCATATAATTAATATGACACTATTTTTGAAATATTTAGTAATGATATTTTGTCTAGGTGGTCTGATTTATCTAAAAAAATTAAAGTCAAAAAAGTGTCTTAATGAGTCATCAAACCAAAATGTCCATATCTTCACATGGTAGTGTCGGTCCTCCCACGCTATAGGGAACATAAATATAGCTGGGAGGTGGAACTTTCTGACACCTCCCTATAGCATAGTCAGATTCCCACACCCTGACTCATAAGAAAGCAATTACATAAAACCAACAAACATTGAGACACTTTTTTGAGCCACTGTATGTGGCACTACACATCGACCTCCATCAAATCTTCCTCGTTCGAGTCTCCAATATCTACATCTCTCTGGGGTGGAGAAGATTAGAATGAATAGAGAGAACAAAGATATAAAATATACAATCTCTTAGTTTACCTTCGTTATCATCAACATCCATAGAATGACTTTCATCGTAGTTTGTATCTTCCTGCAATGATAAAAGTTAGAGCAAATTAAAACTAACCAGATGAGTGATCACATACCTGGACTTCATTGTTGTCAATTGAAACATCCTCTCCCCATGCTTCATTGATGTCCATTGGATAGTTGTTTTCAAGTACATCAAATTGAAAAACTCCCTGCAATCATAAATATCAGAACAAATTAAAACCAACTAGAGTGATCGCTTGCCTGGGTTTCATTGTTGTCCATCAAAATGTTATCTCCCAGTGCTTCATCAATATCCATCGGATAGTTGTCTTCAAGTACATCAATCAGAAGAACTTCCTGCAGTCACAAATATCAGAATGAACCATTTTCAACTTAATCAATCTCCATAGTGCTATTCTCTGAGTTCATCTTAATATCCATCATGCTGTGCTTGTTTGTTTGAGTATGTGTTGATGAATTGGCCCAATATTTTTCCGCACACTTGCCCTCCCTATGTCATGTCCTGTCATATCTATCCCCACTAGGTGCTGCAGTTATCTGTTTTCACATTGCTAACACTGTAGACCATATTATTACATGTCTGCAGTATCACATGTCTTATTACATAGGACATTGGACCCAAAAATTACTGCTACTACTTTTGCCTATAGCACTCTGAAATTCTACATAGACACTATATATTTTGCATACCTCCTACTTACCTTACCTTACCTTTCTACCTCTAAGTAGGAGGAGGACATCTGATATTAGTAGTTCTTTACTGAATTCCTGCAATATCATCCATTCTTTATCCAAAACACTCCAAAACATCTGACAGTAACCCGACATTCACTATCCCCGACATTCACTACATTCCCAATGCTAACCCGACGTAACTCAATAACCCGAAAACTATCAGACCTGACATTTTGACATCAGACTTGTAATGATACCTTCAGACTTTGTTTCCCATGCTTCAGACTACCTTTCTTTTTGTATAACTAATTATTCTACTTCCAAAACAGCAATCCCTTGGGTCAAACGCACTTGTCTTGCAAGTATAGCAGACTATGCTGTGCTAGACCACAACACTTTTTATATTGCTGGTTACTTACTTCATGTAGTACCCAGCAACTGTTGTATCACTATACTGTACCTTGCTTGTTTTATACTGGACTGACCATAACTCCCAAACTGAATTGCTGTAGCACTTAGCCTCTGGCTGAGCTTATATTGGCCTATTTTGTTACACCTTTATTTACAGTCATTTTCCTCTCAATAGGTTCGCACTTTTGCCGCTTACCTAATGATGTTTCACTTCACCTAGTACCCTGACACCTGCACTCCAAACTCCACATAGTGTCTACTGAATACTCACAGTTTTGCTATGCCAGTATACCTAATGCCTCCCACAGATAGTTATAGGCTATAGTTTTAGCGTAAACTCCTGGTTTAGATTCCCCACTTCCTACCTGCTATCCAGGAATTACTATCTATTATTGTTTGCATCACTTTCACTTTCCTCCTGAGCTCTGGCCTCATCAAAAGCTCTTGGGCTGAACATACTGCTCCTCTGTACATGCCCAGCCCATATCTTTCTTTTACATTGCTTATGTTCTCATTATCACATTATGGACCCTACTTACATACATAATACTACCTACTTGACTCCAAACAGTGCTTCAGTGCACTCTCATATATACTTTATACTTACTATTTTCATATATTGATTCATCTACCTCCCTTGTGGAATTTATTGTCCATCTACATATATTCAATGATCCAACTTGAAATCTAAACCTTCAACCTACTCCCGCATGTGTGTCTTCATTGGCTGTGCTAACATTTAAATTTCTATCTTTTGCATATTGCATATCACCCTCACATCTATCATTGCACTATTTCACTTCCACACCTTCAGCTTGGCCATGCACTTTCATGCCTCATTGTATTTTCAGCCATGCACCTTCATATCACATTGCATTTTCAGCAGCTCACTCACACTGGCATCACATTAGTGCTAACCTTCACATTTCTTTATCTCTCAGTTACCCTTACCAGTTTCAAAGTTTCCTCTCATATTTTTATTGAGAGGAATCATTCTCAGTAGCAATCCCCCTAGGCCAAATCTATACTTGCATTCAGAGATCTATTTGAGTTTTACTTCACTTCACCCTTTCTTCCCCTTTCACCTCTTCTCACTTAGCCATCATTCCTTGCACCCAGTGGACAAGTCTGTTTTCAGTGTGGGAAAGAAGGACACATTTAGGTGTTCTACACAGAGACCCCAATTCATGGGAAAGGTGCTGAGATGACCATAATGGCAGCAGTGGACAGTGTCACATTTTAATTTCAGGAGGTGTATTTTAATTTTGTTTCTATTGTCTTTGAGTCTTCACTCAAGGGGGTGTATTGGACTTAGTGGTTGATGAGCTCAACTCAGAAGGAGCCAAAAGAGTGGCTGAAACCTTAAAATGTCAGTGGTTACAAACAGTAGCTAATTTTTGTGTACTCTACACATTTGCAACAAGTCCCCATCTGCATCAACTTGCCAAAACTCCTATAACTTTTGCTGCACATCTGAACTATACTCAAGGCCAGGTGGAAGTTCTAGCACTCGAGAGCAAAAATGATATTATGCAGGCATCACATACTATTAGATCTGTATCAATACTGTTCTGGGCCAAATGGAATAATTTTTAAGTGCATACAAATATTCAACAAAACCTATTGATACACCGACAGTTTTCTTAACCTCTACTGTAGAGTTACGATCATAACTTTGCACCCTTTTGGGTGTGACCATGTCACCCTTAGCTTTGTAGGTCCTTGTGATGTGTGACCTATTCAAATTAGCTTCGAATCTATCCTATATGTTGTACTCTTGTGAGAGCTTTTTGACAAGCAAGTCATGGAGGCTCATTGTATGTGATTGGCTGCACAGAAATAGGTTGAAAATTTTTAGCAATTTTTATGTTTTTTTCTTCTTATTTTTTACCATATGTCACAAAATAGCTTCATGACCCCAAATTCAGTGTGACCATCACTTCAAATAGCTTCAATTCATCAAGGGGTGGGACATGTGACAAAGTTATGGTTGTAACTCTACAGTATCTTTTGCATCTCAAAAGTGCTATTTTTTTTTCGAAAACTCAGCAAGAAAATAATTTGCCTCTGATCCATTTGTCCCATGTCTTCATGTACTATTGGCTACCACTTGCTCTTATACACCACATTTCATGCAGTCACAGAAAAGTCATGGAAAGTCATGGTTTAGTCACACTGGCTTTTTACAGTCACCGACTCGAGTGTGCCATCCATGCACATCTGAGTTGAAATTCCACTGCGGCAGCGGACAGCAGGTGACAATGGAAGTGACAAAAACCTTTGTCACAACCAAACATTTATTTCTCTTGTTTCTTGTCCAAATGCATCTGTCTAAGCTCATAATAGGTTCTTGTGTATTATTATTTCAAATAGATGTACAGTCAACTCCCTCCTAACGCATACCTCTTGGGATAGCCCCAAAAGTATGGCTTATCAGAGAGTATGGGGTATCCAAGAGAGCCATATTCCACCGCTCTGAAGACACAAAAGTTGTACTTGCTGACATTAGTATTGCTCTAGTAGGTACTATGAAGCTATTTACGAGCAAAATAATCAGTCAACATTGTGTCCTTCATGCCTTGCATTTCAATTGTAAGAGTCTGCTGTTCAAATGACCTTAACATCACCTCGAGCTTACATGCAAATGGTTCATTGAAGGTCCCAAGGTGCTTCCTCAATGTTAAGGTAAAGAGCTTCTTAGTCACGTACCAAGTGGCACCCCGAAAAAGGACCCCAGAGACCCCTCGAGCTCAGCGCACCCAATGGTGCCAATGCCGCCCAACGGCGGTCACAATTTCAAATATCTTTCCTACAAAACAACTAAAAAAACCTCAAAAAAACATTACCTAGATACATTCCTTCCTATACATCGTTACTAATATGTCTGTAGAGAAAGCAAACACCGGCTCAGAAATCGGGCCTCCCAAGCCTTCAACTCCAACTCCAAGTGTCGGCCCCAACACTCGCAAAACGACAAGGAGACCGACACTGACGGCGGACATTGAGGCAATGGCCAATACCATCATGGATACCGAAAGTGCAGAAAACTACTTAACCACCAAACTGCTCTGCTTGACTGGCGAGCCTTTTGACTTTATTCACCTTTCGTCTATCCTCTTCCACATCACTCAAATGTCAGGCACCATCCCATTGCCGGTAGTCACCGTGATTCGGGCAGTAGCATTCCTCCTGAAGAAGAACACCGCATGTGAAATTGCAGAAGTTGCAGCTACTCGGCTCTCGGCCACATTAACATCGCAGGTGGTTGATCAAGTCATTGCGGCCATCAAACCTCAAACGGAAAGCCTCCTTGCCATATCCCAGGACATAAAGGACCTCAACCATCAGACTGGTGAGTCCCTGGCCTCTGTCATAACAGACGCAGAACGCATGCACCGCCTGCTCAAGAACAAATGGGATGAGAGGAAGGATGACATGAGGATAGCAGCTGACCGCATTGATGAGACCGTGAACGAGATTCACTCCTCTGTAGCTGAGTGTCAAAACATGTTGAAATCACTGACTCCTTCCCTAGGTACCACACAAGAACGTCTCAATCAGCTGTCAACGCAACTCTCGAGCCAACCTTCATCAGTGCCGACCTCATTGCCAATCCCTACTCAGCCGTCCTACAGCAATGTAGCAGCCTCCCATCTCCCACCATCGGTTGACCAGGCAGTTGGTCGCGTGGCCATCCGGGCACGGCAAATTCTACTGGACCCCCAGCCAGGAGAACATCTCTTTCCCCCCAACACCTCCAACACTGATATCGCAAAGAAACTTTGTGAGGCACTTTCCAACATCCGCTCTGATGACTCACCACTGGGTGACGTCAAAGCAGTACATGCCCTCCGTAATGGAGGAATCATTGTGGAACTGGAGAATGAGCAATTGGTGTTCTGGCTATGCGACTCGGTTGGCAGAACACTGTTAGAGGGGCAGTTTGACACTGCAGTGTCATTTCACAAATGCACTTACACTTTGGTCCTTGAATACTTACCCATACAGTTGCAGATTGAAAACGACGGATTCTTACGACACGTCGAAAATGAGAACGGCCTCCCCATCAAATCCCTAGCCAACATTCGCTGGATCAAGCCTCCCACTTGCCGAACACAAGAACAGCGAAAGGCCTTCGCCCTCCTGCAGGTCATTGAGGCACCCACTGCCAACAACATCCTGCGGGATGGTCTCTGCATCAACAACGAGTGCATTGGGGTACGTAAGGACAAGAGGGAGCCGATCCACTGCGCGAAATGCCAGCGTTATGGACACATAGCTTGTGCTTGCTCGGCTTCGACGGACACCTGTGGCACATGCAGTGGCGGCCATCGCACCGCCCAGTGCACCGCATACTGTACCACCAGGTGTGTCAACTGTAGCGACAACACACACACAAGCTGGAGCAGGAAGTGTCCTGAATTCACAAGGAGATGCGAGCTGATGGACGAGAAGTTCCCGGAGAATAGAATGCCCTACTACCCTACAGAATCGGCTTGGACCCATGCCATTCAGCCACCCAAGCCACCCAAGCCATCCAAACAGGCCCAACCTTCTCTCTCTCCACCCCCATCATCCCAACCTCGCCCTCCATGCCTTGTAAACGCTAATCTTCATCAGGCCACCCTCTCTTTTCACCAACGCCCTACGCCACCTCGACCTCATCCCTTCTCCTCTCACGATAGTGCCAGTCCCGAACCCCCATTTGACTTTCATGCTCAATCGGTAGCCTTACTTAGCGAGATACTTCCCCCAGCGAATCTCGGCAACCACAGCTCCCGAGTTTCCCCCACTCCCTCCACCACCTCATCTGCCTTCGTCTCCTTCGACACTCCCGACAGCTCCACCCCATCTACGACCATTGCCAATGCCTGAACGACCTGCCGACAAACCCGCAACGATACACATCTGGCAGCAAAACCTTAACAAATCCTCAGCAGCTCAAGCCTCCCTTCTCAACAATCCCAAGATCGCCAAATGGGATGTTCTCGCCATACAGGAACCCTATATAAACTTCCTGTGCAACACGAGCGCAAATCACCACTGGCATGTTCTCTACCCCACCCTGCACTATACCCAACCCCAAAGCAAGACTCGCGCCATCACGCTAATTAGTACATCGTTAGACACTAACTCTTGGAAGCAGATCCCGTTTCCCTCGTCGGATGTCATAGTCACCCAATTCTCTGGCCCATATGGACGCTGCACCTTATTTAATATTTACAATGATGGCAACTCTCAGACTACGCTAACCACACTTGACACCTTCCTAGACACCAACCTTGCCACCATCAAGACTGCCGACAGCGACCACATACTCTGCCTGGGAGACTTTAACCGACATCACCCTCTGTGGGAAGAAACTCGTAACAGCCATCTCTTTAACTATCCTGCTGCTCGCCCGTTAATAGACATCATCGCTGACTATGGTTTCTTGCAGCTCCTCCCCCGTGGTATCCCAACCCTCCAATCCACCAGTACCAGCAATTGGACTCGCCCTGATAACATTTTCGGTACTGAACACCTCGTTGACGCAATCATTTCATGTGACACGGACACATCCATGCGTGGACCCAAGACCGACCATGTCCCGATCCTAACCATCCTGGAATTGGAGGCTCCTCGCATTGAGCTGGAACCCAGACGCAACTGGCGGGCGGTGGATTGGGAGATCTTCGACAAGCATCTCCGGAGCCTCATCACCATCACACCAGCTCAACCGTTGGCGTCCAAGGACAAATTTCAACATGCTGCCTCGCGCCTCACACAATCCATCACCGACACCATCAATACTCACGTCCCATTCTCCAAGCCTTGCCCGCACTCTAAACGGTGGTGGACCCGCCGACTCACCAACCTCCAGGACCACGTGACTGAACTCAGTCGCTTATCGCATCAAATGAGGGGTCTCCCTCAACACGCCTGCCACGAGGAACTCAAGGCCACCAAGAATCTATATGCAGAAGAAATCGCCACCACCAAGCAGCAACATTGGCTGGAATGGCTTGAGGACATCGAGGGAAATGATCTGTGGACTGCCAACCGTTACGTGTCCTCTGAGCCTTGCGATGGCGGAAAGACTCGCATACCAACACTCACAACAACAGGACACAATGGCATGGCCATCAACGCGGTCACTAACGACGAGAAGAGTCATATCCTAGCTAAGTCCTTCTTCCCTCCCCCCCCTGTGGCTGACCTTGTTCCCCCCGACGCTATCTACCCTGACCCGGTAGAGCAGCTCCCCCCCATTGCTCCCGACCAGATTTCTTGCGCAATATCGAAGCTGAGTGGTTATAAGGCCCCCGGCCTGGACGGCATTTGCAATATAGTATTTAAGGAATGCGCTGACACACTGACCCCCTACCTGACCCATCTCTTTAATGCAGTCTTTTCTCATTGTGTGTACTACCAGCCCTGGCGCTGCTTTACGACAGTAGTACTTCGAAAACCGGGGAAACCCAACTATTCCGTTCCTAAAGCCTTCCGCCCGATCACCTTGCTCAACACCACCGGGAAGCTCCTCATGGCCGTAGTGGCAGACCAGTTGACGTACGTATTGGAGCACCACAGGCTGCTCCCAAACACGCACTTTGGCGGACGACCGGGCAGGTCCACAACGGACTCACTTCACCTGTTGGAGAACACAGTAAAGAATGCTTGGAGGTCTCACAGAGTCGCTTCGGTTCTGTTTCTAGATATAGAGGGGGCATTCCCCAATGCAGTGACGGCACAACTCCTCCACAACATGCACATGCGCCGCATCCCAGGTGACCTCATTTATCTTACGGAGCAAGTACTAACGAATCGACTAATGCAGCTCAAATTTGATGGATTTGTGTCGAACTGGATCCCCGTCAAGAACGGAATCGGGCAAGGGGATCCCTTGTCAATGATTCTATATATTATATACAGTTCAGGCTTGGTGGATGTGGCTAAACCATGCAGAGGCAGGGAATCGCTTAATGAACTGACATTAGCATTTGTAGATGACACCGCCTTCATCGCTGTGGGGAAAACCTTTGACGAGACTCACCACATCCTGGCCGACATGCTGGAACGCCCAGGAGGAGGGTATGAATGGTCGTGGGTCCACAACTCCCGCTTCGAAACCAATAAGTTTGCCTTAATGGATTTCTCGATGAACCGACGGAAAGAGCACCCTGCTATGACCCTTCAAGGTTCTGTTATCCAACTGACACCCACCCACCGCTTCCTTGGAGTGATTTTGGACCAAGAGTTGTGTTGGAAGGCACAGGTCGACAATGCGGTGGCGCGGGGGACTGCATATGTTTTTCAGTTATGTAGACTCTCATCTGCTGCTAAGGGCATCCCAATGCGATTGATGCGTCAGCTTTATCAGGCGGTCGCGGTGCCGAAAATGCTCTATGCAGCTGACCTGTGGTTCTCACCGGTGTATCGCGAAGGAACAGACAGACTCCAATGAGGATCAATCGGAGTCGCCAAGAAGATCTCTATAGTTCAACGTATAGCAGCCATCGCTATCACCGGAGCGATGAGAATGACTGCAATGGACCTGCTCAAAGTCCATGCTAATCTTTTGCCTCCCTCCCTCCTCCTTCAGAACTCCTGCTACAGAGTCACCATCCGCCTTGCCACCCATCCGAAAACCCACCCCCTTTATGAGCCGCTGCGCAGAGCTGCAAAGACATATGTGGGCTCACACCGATCCTCCCTCCACAAGCCCACGCACCACTTTGACATTGCCCCCAACGCTATCGAAACCCTCATTCCCTCAAGATGTTCCCCAACCTCCATGAATCTGTGGACCACCCACATAGCCGGAACAAAAGAAGAAGCTATAATGGAACATGAGCAACTTGACGAACTTATTCAAGTATACAGCGATGGATCGGGATACAAAGGGAATATTGGGGCCGTGGCAGTTCTCTTTCGTGCTGGGAAACCCCCAAGGACATTATGCTACCACCTAGGAACGGACAAAGAACACATGGTATTTGAGGCTGAGGAGGTACATACATGCTGGAAGATGAACCCCCACTAAAATTCAACCGCATGTATGTTTTTGATGGAGGTAACTCTGCAAAGCGCATGCTGACACTTGCCGAGCAACAAACGGGAGATTTACGTTGCTTCAGAGATAGTGACTACCTCCTTCCCTGCGCTTTTGTTGACACATTCGCAGGCGAAGTTCGACCGAGATCGTCGATTCCTCATGAAGACCCAACTCCTGGCATTGATGACCACCTTCCTGTATCAAGCGACACCTCTGATTCTATTGCTGCTGATTGTAGCAAAAATTGGAAGGCAGCCACCTCTGATGAAAAGAAGAGGATGTGGAGCATATTTGACGAGACTGGTATTTTTGTCAGCACATGCCGTCATGGCTTCATCCTATGGTATGCAGATATGGTATGAAGTGGTGAGCTGTATGTCATCATTTTGATGCGGCTGTCGGATGCAAGGCTAATAGTTACGTGAACAGTGCTAAGTACCCTCTCACCATCATTGCTAAAGTTCTCGAACTCCTCAGTGAACGCTCACTTGGTGCCTACGACATCGGTTGTGGGTTCTCATCCACGGTCATGGCCAGTAGCCTGGGCCCTCTTTTCAAGAACATGGACTGTTGTTTGTGTGTCGATGCATTTCACGGCTTTGCACATAACTATCGCTGTCAGACTAAGCACCATCCACTTTGGATTGACGGTGCAGGTCTTGAAGATTTTGGAACCATTGAACATATCTTTTCTGCATCAAATGCCCTCTCCCCTGTCATTCAATATGCAAGCGCTTATAATCGGCACGTGTTTCTCGACATGTTCTTCAAACAATGGGACAACGAGAAGTACACAAACCTCGCTATGATGATCTACAACAACTACTGTCAAGCCCTTCAGATCATATCGAAAGAATTGGTAGCATTAACAGAGGCTATGGCATCACTCGGGATTACTGAAGAAGACTTCACTCTATGGCGTCAAGAAGAAGTTGAGTACTTCCATACACTGGGTCAGGAACCGCCATGGCATATGTTGAGCTATTACTGAAGTATCGAGAATTGCAGTAAGTTTCTCCTTTGTTTCTAAACTACCATGCTAACAACATTTTAGGTCTCAATGCTCTGCTGTGTCGTTGCGCTTCATATTGAGTGCTCCAGCAAACTATCAATTCCAGCCACCAACACAGGGCTCATACACTGCCGAATTATCTCAGACTCACAAACTCGAAACACAGAGGCGTTACGCTTCTGAGAAGTTGGATGCCATTCAACTTGAATTGGTTGCCATGGAAGTTAAGATGGGTATTACCCACCGCTGGGAGCCATCTTCGCCTGAATACCAGGCAACCATCAAGTATATGTGCACTCGAGAGTATCACCGTGCTATGGACAATCTTCAACGTCTTGTAATCCAACGTCTATTTGAGCTTCAGCGTCTCAATGTTGCACAAACCGGTATGTTAGACCTTCTGTTTTGACCATCTATTAATTTAGTCTGCACAGCCTATAAAATGTGCACGCAGATATCCAAGAATCTTCAGACTCGTTGTCACGCCATTCAAAGTGCCGTCAAGAAGCATAACGATGCAGCATCAAAATTACAGCCCCCCGCCTACTGCTCGAATGGGCGAAGGTTTCGCACTATCAGTTCCTTGACGAGTTCATGCTTTTGCATGAGACTCGTCAGGATATCCACGACAAACCATGGGCCAAACTGGCTATTCGTGAGACCATGCGCCAACACTTGCGTATCCAATGGGCACGTGAAGAAGTTGTCCGCTGCAATGTGGAGATACGCAGGATTCACACTGCTATCATAGATGAAGACCACCACTTCTCACGCATTCTAAAGGACCTTGATGATACAGGGTCTCCATTACTTGTTGCAGCACATGATTTCTGTCAGAGGCAGTGTCTTGTTAATGCCCAGGTTCTTAAACGCATTTAGGAATCCCAACCCATGGCATTAGAAAATGTGCGCCCATGACCAATGTCATTGAGCAAGATTTTTCTCATTTGAACGTTGGAGAAGAGGCAGATGAAGATGCCAATGATGATTTTTGGGAGGATGACGCACGTACAGACATTGGAACCCTAGTAGAATTTATCTCAGACCTGCCATGTAGCCAGCTGTAGTTTTATTACAATATAGCGCACAGTGACAACCAAGGCTTAGTTCTTCCTCCGTGAGTTGCATCCATCATGATGCACAGGGACAACCAAGGTTAGTTCTTCCTCAGTGAGTTGCATCTATCATGATGCACAGTGACAACCAAGGCTTAGTTCTTCCTCCGCGAGTTGCATCTATCACAGTGTACAGTGACAACCAAGGCTTAGTTCTTCCTCCATGAGTTGCATCTATCCAACACCCTCGTAAACCACATTTTCATGGGCCAACCTCCCTTAATCCTCTTTTCGTTGGGCAGGCTCAGGGGTTTCTTATAGCTTTCAGCGCTGCTCAATTCCTTATCAGCAATGCACTGGTGATAGATAGCCCAATATAATGTGCCTCATTGCTACCATTCACCACTCAACTCTTTGCTCCTGCCTTGGTTCCAACACTCACCTCTGAGTCACGCTCTCTTAAAGTCTTGGATTATTTCAACTGAGAAATGTGGGTGGTTATTGGAGGACGGGCACCAGGGGTTTTTGCTGATAGGTATGTCATTGTCAACTTCTTCAAACTTCTCGCTCACTAGCTCTATCACCACTCGTTTCCCACCTGACCTTCTAGACCTCCCATCAGTTGCGGCTATAGAAGCCTATCTTTTCCCATTGCCATCCACACCGACAACAAAAGGACAGCAGACACTGTCTTTTCTTGTCTACAGCCTATCGCTACCAATTTTGAGACCTCAACATTCCCAATCCTTGCTGCTCAGGCATTCTATGAATCCACGACTGTGTGCGCTCTTCTGTCTGGCCAAGTATCAGGGTTTTATTGTGTTTTGGTGGGCTATGAGTTCGGAATTTTTCTCACTTGGCGAGTCTCATTTGTTTCTCATCTTCTACTAATCTAATGTTCAATCATTTGATATCAGGCGTCTCTGTCAGGCCAGTGTCACTCGCTTTCCCAAGGCTGTCTACAAGAAGCTCGCAAACATGGCTGATGCTATGGAATGGATGATAACGAAGGCACATCGCACCAGGAATGCCACCAATCAGTTGTGTCATCAATCAACGCCACTCATACAGATTCAAGCGCAATTATCAAGTCATACGTGTTTTTATCGCTACTATGTATATGTGGTGCTTATGATAAGTAACTAGTGTGAGTAGAATTTGACTTGGCCAAGGCTCTTAGTGACTTCCCAGTCAATGCTTTAACGTCTTTTCATCTATGGACTACCACTACACAGCCCGCTCATTGTTTGGGTTCCACTCTGGGTGCTACTCGTGTATGGCATGTTCCCCAAGCCGAAAGCCAAGCTCTGCCATCCAATCAGCCACCTATTCGACCTGTTTATCAGCACATATGAGAGATCTCAGGTATTCGGGGTAGTGTTTCCGAGCCTGTGTTTGATGACACACCCCTCCCATCATTCGGGGAACTTGCTGATCACTATCTTCAAACTCATGGATACTCCGTGCATGCCATCCTGACGATTGCACACATGTTGGACACCACTGCTACTTGCATGGACTTTATGAATGCTATATTGTCTCATGGTATGCCTGTTATGGAGGTATATTTTCTGTGGGCTTTGATTAACATTGGCCAAGGGACGACCGTGACTACTTAGTATGACTACAGAGGTATATTTTCAGTGGGCTTTGATTAATATTGGTGAATGAATGACAGTGCTACTTAGTGCCTTGAATATTAGGGTCATGTGTGATGTATCATGCAACATATTTTTTTCTCTGTCCCTTGTACACCACAAAACAATGTCTCCAAATATCGATGGAGCTCGCTACACTGCAGCAACGCGAAAAGTGCAAACTTCCAAACCACGAAAGGCCTGGCGTACCCGCACAAAAGTGCGCATCAAATGGACCTCCGAGCAGAAGGCTGCCTTGAGAGCCAAACGTGCACAGCATCCCATCAACTATGGGACTGCATTGAAGGAGGCTAGGGAGGTTGTTCAGCATCAAGCTGAAATGCTTTACGAAAAGTTTGGCAAGCACAGTATTGAATATTACTATCAAGAAGTTATGCAGAAGTCACATCTTGTCACTCAGAAGCGAAGTGTTAACCACTGGAATGCCTTTCTTTCTGGTAAACTTAAGGAGCACAACGAGGGTATGTTTTTTGCAGGACATTCAAAGGTTCATTTACTAGTTATAGCTCACAATGTGGCATTATAGAACGTGAAAAACAGGGCTTAAGCAAAGAAAAAGTCGATGTGATTGTAGTGGAGGTTTCGGCTCAGTGGAAATGTATGAATAAGGAAGAACGTTCAGATGCTACTGACAATCTCATGCAAAGTCTCGGTGACCAGCGCGAAATGAAAGATTTGGCCCTTTACAATGTACCTTTGAATGCCTTCCAAGATGGCAGGAAGACTCTCGACTCAATTGATCACGAGGTTTGTTTTATTTCAGTTTAATACAAAGTCCTGCATCACTAACGATAAAGCTCAGCTATCAGCACTAAATGCCCGTACAGGAATGGAGATCTTATTATTTGCAGTTCGCTCAGACGTTGAGCATTTCAACCAACCTCATATCTTTCAAACATCATGCACTTCTGCCTTCTTTGATGCCTGTCTTGGAACTTCTGTGGGCAATATAGCTCTTCATCTTGAAGGTTTCAGCATTGCCGGTGTACAGAGTATGGCAAAAACTCATGTTCAGGAGGTCCTTGAATGGAAGAAGAAGACCGGTGAACTCATTCACAACAAACTTTGTGAGTTGAACATGCTTTCACTTCTAGTTCCATTACTAATGAAAATATACTACAGAGGAGACAGCCGTGTCCGTCAAGATATCGAGGATGTACTACGTCAACTTCAACGACAATATTATATCGAAGCACCATATTGTTTTGAAGAATTGGCCACTCTCAAAGTTCTGCTGCCCGGGTGACATCAGCTCTCTCAATGAACTCAAAGTTTTATTCTATGCTTTTGATACCGGTGTAGGGATTCATTTCCGGCTGGGCTTGTAGAGACTGTTTTTACCTTACCTTATGTTGGCACTTTTGTAGCTTACATAAGCAAGCAAGCTTTTCACCAGTTTACCAGTATGAGTCTGAGTGCTCAGCAGTTTTCTATTATATTTCCTCTTCTCTGAGCCTTGAGCCTGGTCCAGAAACCCTTTAGGGTCAAATAGCAGCTAGGTTCTGCAAGACCCAACACATTGTTCAGACTCACCATCTGAATTGTTGTACCTTCACCGGCGCTACCTCTTTTCAGAAACTTACGGATGCCGAGTATGACCAATGGTCAAACGAGCATTTCCAAGCGGCATTAGCAAAGCAAGATGGGCACACAACTGAAGACATGCCTAACATCGAATGAACAGGATGAGGATGAGGGAGCAGGAGCAGGAGGGACAGGGAATGATCGTGCTGGCGCTATCTGAGACTGAGAGCAATGCAATTGTCGAAGCAGCTCCCAAGCACAGGACTGAAGCGGAAGGCTGCTGAGCCCATCAACACAGTCACCGCTAGCTCGGGGGCTGCACTTCCAGTGCAGAAGAGACCGTGCATGCTCCCAGGAAGGACAAGGGTGTTCCCCAGTGGCCCAAGGAAGAAGAAGACGGCCCAACTTACAGCTGCTCCTTCCCCTGATGCGAGTATCGTGTCCCCCACTGCAACCCAGACCCCCTCAAACCCTTCAACAACACCCATTACACCATCAGCGTCTCCTTCAGCGACTTCGTCAGCCGAGCCTTCCATCTGAGATCACAGGGCCCCTTTAAACCCTTCCACCACGCCTGCACCATATGCCGAGTCCATTCGAGAGGCCCTTTTCTTCGACTGTGACATAGCGAAATGGAGGGATAGATGGTACAGGAGTGGGTGGAGAGAGCGATGTTAGTTCGGCGAAAATCGTGTTGTCGTAGTAATAAAACATCTGTGGAATATTTTCAGTGTGATTAACGGAAAGAAAACACTGGACATCATTGCAAACAATGAGCACAAGGGAGCTTGGATGATGCCGACAGTGTTGGTGGCTACAATGATGCAGCGAGCACACCTGACAATTACCTAGTGTCATACGCCAACGTGGTTCCTTATAATGAAAAGTTCTGTAAAAATATGTTATAAATTAAGAGTAATATGGTGCTCATCGTTGTCAATGATGAGCACGAAGGTTTTGGATGCTGCAAACAACAGCTGCAAGCGTAGTTGCTGTTGGAAGTTCAAACTAAGATACATGTCTCAGCGTTGCAGGAAGAAGCGCTGTAACATTAATAGTACCTAAGATACACGTCTGAAGACGGAACAATATGAGTAAGAGACGGCGTGCATAGGAGAACGAGAACCATACCTCAGCATTGCAGGAAGAAGTGCTGAGGTATAAACAACATGAAACAATGATGCTATATACTAGTACTAAGTCCGTGATGACGAATAAGGAAATGGAATATGGTGTCGTTGTTGCACATCCAACACACCCCCTCAATGAGACACCAAAGCGAGTCCTGAGCAGTGATGGTTGAAGGCAGGACGAGGGAGAACTTTCGTAAAGATGTCAGCCGTGTTCTGGTGCATGGACACCCAGATAGGAATGAAAGTGTTGGCTTCGATGTGACGTCGTATAAAGTGATAGCGCAAATCGATATGTTTGGTGTGAACATGGTTCGCGGCTTCCTTCGACAACGCGATTGCTCCAGCGTTGTCGGTGAACAGGCGAACAGGGAGCGGCAGCAGGATGGAGAGACAACCGAGGAAGGACTGTAACCAGAGGCCGTCTTGAATGGCACTGGTGAGTGCCATGTACTCAGCCTCCGTTGAGGAGAGGGCGTGTGTCGTCTGCTTCTTCGCAGAGTGCGACACGGGACCTCCATTCAGAAACCAGACGTACCCAGTGATGGAGATCCGGTCCTCATGGCATGTCGCCCAATCAGAGTCGCTGAACCCGTGGAGCTCAGGATTAACCCCTGCTCCCCCGTAGTGAATGTGCATGTGAATGGTTCCGACAAGGTACCGTAGCACGTGTTTTGCTGCAGCATAGTGCTGGGACTCCGCATTAACGTTATGCTGGGCGAGACGCATGACTGTTAGAGCGATGTCGGGACGTGTGTAGAGTGCGAGGTAGAGAAGCTCGCCAACAAGCTTGCGGTATTCCGATTGAAGGTCGTCAATGTGGGGATGAACATCAGTGGGACGGCCAAAAGGGAAAGTAGGATCCATTGGGAGAGAGACTGGGTTGCAGCCTGACATGCCGTGTTCCTCCAGGATGTATGCAATGTAGTCCTCCTGGTGCATCCAGAGCTCACGCGTTGCACAGCTCCGGACGAACTGAACACCGAGGTATTTAGTGACGGCTCCCAGGTCCGTTATCCCAAACTGTTCCGCTGACCTGCACCAAACTGGTTCGGTGCATGGATGACTAATGCTCTCCCATGAGCCTAATACCCTAGAAATCACTACGAAACCATTTCCCTCTATTCTAAAGCCAGAATGCAGCTCAGACAAATATTTCATTTCATCTTTTCAATGGAACTCGGACAGGCTGAATATTTTTGTATATTTAATTCTGCGATGAATTTTGCTTAGTCATCCTCAACAATGACTCAGGCTGAATCCCACACATGTCAGGTGACTGTGAAAAATAGTTCTCACATGGGTTACCCTGGGAAAACTTCCTCAAAACCCTAAATACTTGCCTCGCGTCATTTTCTCATTCAACAAAGTGACATCAGAACGGAACACCAATGATCATGAATATTTCTCTTGCAGTGGACAATCAGCCTGTCACATAACCCTTCAGTCACATGATGCTAAATCACATGATCTTAAGTCAGGTGACTTTTTTGATCCAAATCAAGTGATGACAGAACACTCAGCCCAAGCATGCTGACTAATGCTGACTAATTATGGTCTCATTTGGTGCAACATAAGCAACCCCTGCAAAATGATTTTTGGTACCGCTGACTAAGCCCACCCCTCATAGATGGCGGGAAAACGTAGCACAGCCACCCTTTTTTTTGTATATAAGACCCAAATTTTTGCCCAAAGAAGAGAGCTTTTAAGCCCCACTTTCAGAATAAAATTGTGTGTGAAGTGTGATCATTGTCAACAACAGTGACCAGGGCTGTCAAGTACCTTCAGCAAAGTCATTGTAACCAGTAGTCAGCCAGCAACTTTCAGTAACCAGCAAGCCCCTAAGCTCATCAGCATCAGCATTCAGCAACACCCTTAGCTCATCACCACTAACGACGACCAAGACCTTGAGCTCACTGTGCTCAACGACCGACAGAATTTTTTTTTTGATTTTTCTTCTTTGATTTTCTAGTTTTCTTCTGTCTCTTTTTCTCTTTCTTTTCTTTCTTTCTTTCTTTCTTTCTTTCTTTCTTTCTTTCTTTCTTTCTTTCTTTCTTTCTTTCTTTCTTTCTTTCTTTCTTTCTTTCTTTCTTTCTTTCTTTGTCTTTCTTTTCTGTCACTCTTTTGTTTTTCTCTTTCTTTTTTTTCGTTCTTTCGCTCTCTCTCTCTCTTCTCTCTCTCTGTGATCCTCTCTCTTTCTTCTCTTTCAAGTTTCGGTGCTAAGCTTTCATTCATATTTTCAGAAGCTTTTGTGTTGTCTCTTTCGTCCATCTAGACTCTGAATAGTTTAGTGGGGAGACTTTAGGGATTGACAGTAACGCTTGACCTCACTCATCTGAGTAGTGATACTGAGCCAGGATCTTCCTTGTCTGCTAGACTTTAGTTGTTGAATAGGGGACTTGGTACTGAAACCAAGGACGTCCATTCCTGATTCTGTTTAATACTCATCGTGAGTTCCTTGGCAGCAGGTTCAACAGTGAGCTAAGAGTTCTACTGAGCATTGATTAGTCTTGACCTTTGATTCTACCTGTTTGTGCTGAGGGGGTTGATTGCTGTAATTCCACACAACTCTTTCGAGATACGATTGTTACAAGGCATTGTTGTTGAAGGAAGGTTTGAAGAGGTGTCTTTTTTTTCTTTGTTTCTTTTTGTCATCACCATACCGTTGGGTTGACTAGTTTTCTTTCGTCTTTCAATCACTGCCATACCGTTGGAGTGATTTCATTTCAGTTTCATTTTTGTTGGATTGACTGCATTGTTACTGACTTTACAGAAGTACTGTGGTCTGACATAGCTTGGGAAGTGTAAACAGCCACCCACGAACGACCACGTTATCAGCCATTGGTATTTGTCTGAATCGCTGACCGTGGAGATATTTGTTTTTATAGGTGTTTATCTATAGATCATCTATCTAAGAAGACACCGTGATTTGCGCCTTCGTTTGATCCAGGAATTTTCGATTGTTAGACCCCGCGAGTCCGTCATCGACGTGCCACGCAATGACGCAGATCACCCTTACCCCCTCCCCATTGACGCGGTCAAAGGAGAATACCGCATAGTCTGCTTCGCAGCGAAGAAACCCGAGACGCGTCAAGACATCGCATAGGAGTTCGTACCAGTAGTATGCGGCTTGCTTGAGCCCATAGAGCGAGGAAAGGAGGTGACAGACGAGTTTCTGGAAGTCAGGGCCAAGTCGTTCAAACCCAGGGGGTTGGCGCATATAGACGCCTTCTTGTAATTTTCCCCATAGGAAGGCCCGGCGTGCGTCAAAACAGTCCAGCTCCCAATCGTGTAATGCCACGTGAGTGGCTAAGACTCTGATGGATGCCGACTTTGCGACGGGTGCAAATGTGCGTCCGAAGTCGATACCTGGGATTTGAGAGAACCCCTGCACGACCAGATGTGCCTTAAAGACCGGTCCTCCCTTAAGGTCCTCCTTAAACTCCAGGACCCAGCGGCACCCGATTGCTCAGCGATCAGGGGGAAGAGGGACAAGTTCATACACGCACATCTCACTCATCAAGTTCATTTCCTTCCTCATAGCCGCTAACCAGTGATCCTTGTCTGGGCGTCTCATCGCCTCATCATACGTAGCGGGAGGTACCTTCAAATTGTACCCAGGACTAAGGGGATTGAGACGAGAGTCACTCCGAATCGAAAGACACGCTACTTCG